GGCCCAAAGAAGGAGGCGGAGGCGAAGGCGAAGAAAAAACACTGGGGAAATCCAAAGAGCTATTGCGACATGGCAGCCAAAGGAAGGAAAAGTGGAGCAGAAAAGGAAAAAATTAGCAATAAACGTAAACGCGCACGCGATGTCCTGCTTAGTCCTTAGTCCTCCGACTTTACTTCCCCTTCCACCTCTATATAACTGGTAACAGGAAAACAAAAAGAAAGAGTCGCCTGAAAAAGGGCTAAAATCAATAAAATGCTTGTTGCTCCAACGCCAAGTAGCAAAATACAGCAAACTCCTCGCTCACACACGAAAGTTCGGTGGCATTTATACAATGGCAAACGACTACGACGACGTCGCGACTTTTCCCCGACATCTTTCAATGTACAATTATATTGGTTGGCTTCTGCCACGCCCCTGCACGCGATCCGCCGCCACCGCCCTCTTATTCGTTTTTGTTCGAATAGAAAAGGGGTACTTCGTCGTCGCTGTGCAACATAAATAGTTGCGTTTTTGCCTCCCACTTCTAGCGGTGCAGTGAGAGAAATAGGGGGTTCATTTTGGGGAACAAATGTTGTAAAATATTTTATACTATTTACCAAGATTTGCTGTGTTGGTGTGAGTATTTTTATAATTTCTAAAACATGTTTAAAATGTATTTTTGCCCTAGTTAAGAGTGAATTTAGTTCCGAGTTCCTTTAAAGATATTTACCTTGATGAAAATATTTCTTATAGTTTAATTAATAAACAAAATAAACTAATTTAAAAAGGATATAGTTTATTTGTTTTCAATTTAGCAGATTCTTTTTCCCCTGTGTCTCACTTTTAGCGCTGTGCCAGCGAAAATGCTTGAAATTCCTATGACTGGGAGCGGATAGAGTGTCCTTCGTCGCCGATTCCTCTGCTGCTAGTCCTGCTGCTCCCAGTGCTCCCTTGTCCTGTGCCTTGTTCCCGCTGCTTAGCTTCGTCAGCGCCATAAATGGCTGCAAAAATGTAAATAGAGTCAAGGGAGAAGCAGGGGAGACGGAGTGGAGGACACAGAGCACATTGCTCGTTACATGCTGGGGATTCCAGCCAGCGAGCGAGTTATTATGACAAACTTTGTTAATTGGAAAATATTCCTCGAAAACGCTGGCTGCCGCCGCAACATTGAATTTACAGGATACATTCAGCGGCGTCCTTTCCTCGAGCCTTTTGGTTATGGTTTCTGTGGTCTTTCTCAATGCATTCGACAAGTTTCATCTGCGGCAAAGTTTGCTTTCGCTTTCGCTCTTGCTTTTGCTTTTTTGTTTCCTTGTTTTTTTTTATGTTTTTTTTTTGAGCAAATATTTGCGCAGATGGCATCGGTGGAAAGTAGATTAATTCATTACGCTGCCAGCAAGTTCGTTAAAACTATGGCTACATATATATATACTATATACTGAGCAACTTGGCCCTAAATACTCGTAGTTGCCAAAGTTGTGGGCTTGTGCCAGCGAGTTTTGACAAACCGCTTATGGCCAACTTTATGACAGCTGGCAATGGCAATGGCAATGTCGCCTTGAAAGATCAGTTAACGTGGACGTAAACGTAAACGTAAAGTCAACTCTGTCGGACGGACATTTGATGTCTCTGTTTTACATGTGATTTATGGCTGCGAAACGCGCTGTCCCGAGGACAAACATATGTCTCTGCTGCTGTTTATTTTTCTCTTCTTTTGGAGTATCATTACGCCGTAATGTTTCTCTTTTTTATATGCCACAGTGCCGGATATAATGTGACCCAGAATAAAGGGGGGCAATAAATTCGAGTACGACGAGGTGACTCCCTGCTCCAATGCAGTAGTCGATGGATGTCCCAGTCCCTGACTGTCCGTCCGATCATCTTGTGAGTCTCAAAACTGAAGCAGCTCTTGCCTGGGCAATCCATTGCAGTCCGCCATCATCGTGGTCCTCATCGCCATCATCAATTCGTCCCTGGCGATAAGGAGGTTGATGTTGATGTTGATGATGATGGTGACCCAAGCCAATTGTACTCTTGGCGAGGCCAGAACAAGTGCGAGCACTTGGCTGGTTAAGCTGCAAGGCAGGCAGAGAAAATATTATACATTTTAGGAATATTTATTATAATTTTGAAAGGGATAACCCAGATTTCTATATAATTTAAGCTAAAATACTTAATATTCAAGGTTAACTAAAAATTCAATTTATTATAAACATTTTTCTGTATAAAGTAGAGGAACATTAAGTACTTATTCTTTTAATTCCCTTATTAATTTCAATTTAATATATATATATATTTTATTTATCCTACAATTGCATTCCCTATTAAATGGTGAATCTATAATGATTCTCTTGATTCCTTGCAACCCTTTTATCCTCAGTGTTTTGGCGTGAAGTAGACAGGATACTCGATGGCCGACTGTGGGACGTGTGTCCATGGCCAATCCTCGTGACGGCATTTTATTGTTTGCTGTCGGTCTTTAGTCCTTCGAGTGTGTATTTATTGTGTACTACATAGTGGGAGAGTGGGGTGTGGGTTGGTCGGATGTGGGTTGGTACTCTTTCTCATTGGCCTGTGTGACTTGTGTCGTGTTAGGTCTAGAGATCCGCCGCTATCCGGTTTTCCATATTTTTTTTTCCAAGCGCCCCACCCAGAGTGGGGTCCGTATCCTTTATGTAATTGCAAGTGCCAGCGATTATGTACACGCAACTATGACTACTATGACTTTAACTGCTGGTCGTTGTTTTCAGTTCCAGAGTACGTGGAATATAGAAGCAATGATGTTTCATTTTGTGGTGGAAAAGCGGTTTAGTTATTGAAAAATGTAATTTTTAAAGTTTTTAAATAACTTCAAGTGCATGGAAATGTAAGAAATATATTTTCTGGAATTTTTAAAAAATAATTTCTAGATAAAAAGCTTAAGGCAACCCCTAAAAATGTTTAGAAAACCTTGAAAATATTCCCCAAAAATCATAATTTCTCTCTTTTTTATTTCTTAAATTTTTTCTGTCATCACTATGTTATATTTCGTAGTTCATCGAGTGTTGTTATTGTCACGGCTGTTTTGGGGCGGCCGCCCGTTGCCACTGACAACCAACAGCAACAACAACAACAAGAACAATACACACACCAAACAGGCGCACTTTGTACTCGGCAAACACTACATACAACAGTTGCCCCGAAAGGCAGAAAACCCAAAAGAGAACCCTGAACCCAGAACCCAGCGAAACCCCTCAAACCACCCTCGCACAACCACATGCAGGCGGGTCAGACGCCCACACACACTTGTGCACTTTTCCAACACCCACGCACAGAGGCACACACACATTTTGTGTGTGCTTTCAATCAGGCACTGAATTGAAAATCCATTAACGAGTACAAGGCGGAGGCACTGGCGCCAGCTGGCACCCACTGGCTGCCACTGGGTTTTCTCTTCACTTTCCCCTGGCTTCCTTCTCTTGTTCGATGGGGGGGAGCACGGTCCGCGGCTATATATTTTCTTGAACAATAAAAAAATAACACACAAATTTGGTGCTTCTGTTCCTGCTGTTGCTTGGCTGCTGCTTTGATGCCGTTGCTGCTGCTCCTGCTGCAGTCAAGGACACTATCGCACATTCCACTGAATGCACTTGCAACTAACAAAGGAGGAAGCAAAGAATGCACTTGAGGAAAATGGGGGTAGAAAGAATTTATTAAAAATAGTTTGAATAATTGAAATTAAATTACTTTCTTGTTAGAAAAAATATTCTAGGGGGATATTAATATACGTTTTATGAAAGTTTTCCTTGGACAATTAATTTTAATTAATTCTAAAAACAAGAAAGGAAGCTAACTTCGTCACCCCGAAGTTTGTATACCCTTCCTGTTTGCACCTGACTCAGAGGACCAAATTTGAATCTATCGTAAATAAGCCAAAAAATCATTAATTTCAAATCGGAAAACAGTTTTGTGTTAGTTTTTATTAGGTTAACAAATCTGCTTACTAAATTGAAAATTTTTAGAAATTCAAAATTTTGTTGATTTTTGCCAACTTTAATGATGTAACCCCTTACCAATTTTTCAAAAAAATGGCCAAAATTTTTTTTCCGCGGAAAAAGTCTAGAAAGAATCGCCTGTTGATGCTGGTCAAGAATATATATGATTTATGGGGTCGGAAATGATTCCTTCACTGATTTTCAAGCTTCTGACTGAAATTACAATACCCTTGCCCTTGCAGGGTATTATAATTAATTAGAACCTTTTTTTGGTATATTTCTAAGACTAAATGAATCGAAAAAATGCGCCAGAAAATAAACGCTTTATAAAATATTGACTAAATATTATATATATAATTAAAACAACACCTTAAACCAATTCCTTACATCAATTAGCAAATTAAAACAATAAGAAACGAAATGGTTTAAATTAATACACCTCCAAACGCTTGTCGGTTTCTCTCAGTGCATTAAACAAGAACCGAACCTCAACGAAAACCCCCCAAAAATTCAAATAAATCAAAGATAAATCAAAAACCAAAGTAAAGCGAAACTCAAAGAGCGCGTCGAAAATGTTGACCTGCGTGTGTCGACCCGTCTCCGGCAATCTGCCCAAGATGCCGCCCGCCTCGCTGATGCCGGTGCCCAGGTCGTCGTCATCATCCTCATCATCGACAGGCTCTACGAGCTCCTCCTCGGGCTCCTCCTCCTCCGTGCGCGGCGTGGTGGTGGTGACCTGCGAGCCCAAGCTGAATGTGAGTATCTTCTCCCGAGAAAATCCAATCTGCGAAGCAACAAAAAGCCGAAATTAGCTTAAGCATAACTTGATTTATGGCTGACCACGAACGTTGACAACTTTCCGTTTGACTTTTGAGTTGAGTTGAGTTTTCCATGGAGGTTAGGCTGTGGGTTTCGCTAGGATTATAAATTGTGAAAATTTCATTTGACACTTTTTGCACCCAACACACACAGACACACACTCACGCCTCCTTAATCGCAATCGTATAATCCTAATCCCCAATCCCTCGTTAATTCTCCACATTGCAGGTGCCCAGCAGGCTGACGTCAGCCGAACTGAGGGCGATGGCATTGAGACAGCAGCAGCAAATCGACAGCCAGCACCAGCTGCTGGCCACCAAGGAGCAGCGCCTGCGCTTCCTCAAGTCGCAGGAGGTGCGCAGCGCCGTTGCCAGTGCGGAGGGCGAACGGCTCCGTCGGCTAAGGGAGCGCGTGGAGGCACAGGAGTCCAAGTTGAGGCGCCTGAGAGCGTTGCGGGGTCAAGTGGACCTGCAGAAGACCTACAATGTCACGCTGAGTGAGTACACCTTTAGAAAAAAATTCTATAAAAAATATAAGAAATATTTTATCGCGATTTTTTTGAGGTTGATTAATGTGGGGAAAAGGGATTTATAAAGTTAAGCCAGGAGCTTAGGGTGGCTTTGAGTAGAAATGTTATTCAATTCGATTTGAACTTATAAATGATTTTTTTGGGTAAAGGAAATGTATTAGTTTTTAAGGACTTGGCTTTATAGGGAGCTCAATGAGCTTGAAATATATATTTTTAATTTGAAAATAGTTTATAGAACTTGAATTCTAATTAGGAATTTCTTAACATATCTTTTAATAATTATATTGAAGGGATTTAGTTGATTTAATATATAAATTAGTATTTATTTTAGTTTCTCATAAACTTTGGTGTTTTGTCTATTATTTGTTTTTATATTATTAACACTTTTTTTGTGTACTCTATATAATTTATTTATTTATTTCATTCCTTATTTCTCACAGTGTGGCATTCGCTTAATCAAATTAAATTGAGTACTCAGAAATTTGCATTTTAATAGCCGTCTAGCTAAATTTTAATACTTAATCAGGGAGGTGAAGGTCCTTGGACTAGATAAACAATATTATAAATTGATGTTATTTAATTTTGAAAATTAATTTAACACTATTAGAGTGTATTTTTGGCCAGAAACTATAAGAATTTCAAAGGCAAACTAAATATAAAACACACAAAGGGAAGAAAGGAATTCGGAAAGTCTTCTTGCCTTTGCCAAGATCTTTTTGGAATAATTAATTAATTTTTAAATAAACAATTAAGTAAGCTTTCCTTTAAGAATTGTGAGAATTTAAAGTGCAACTCTACAAACTGCATTACTGCAATTTTTCCAGCAGTGTACCTCAAGAGGGGTGCCAGCTGGGCTTCGAAGCCCGGATCCTTGTTCCCCAGGAGGGTTATTCCAAGGACAGTGGCAAAGTGCCGCCAAGTGCATCTGCTTGGGATATCCTATCCCGCGTCCTAAGCTTCCCCTAACCCCCCCTCCAATTGAGTTAAGCACCGTTGGCTGAGTGGAGAAGAGGGGTTCTCTGGGTGAATTAACATGTGTTAAAACCGTGTTGAGTGCTGCTGGCTGGCCTTTATCCTCGTCCCCTCTCTCTCTTTGCGTGTGTGAATTTAATTTATGTATGTGTGCCACTTTGTTGTCCTTTATGATTGCCTGTGGGCGGTGGTAGCGGTAACAACACCTCCTGAAAATGGCTAAGAAGATGTTGGCCCCACACACACACACTCGGGATACTATACAGGGGTATTATGTTAATGAGCTGGCGCCCTGTGTTGTGGCCGTAATTAGTTTGAACAGGCAACCCAAATCCAAATCGGAATCCACGAAAGGAAAGCGGCAGAAGGCGGGAGCAGGCAGGACCAGCAGGCGGTCGACGATTATAAAATAGTTAGTGCGGCTAACGAATGGATCGCCATAACGAGTTGATTAAGAGAGCAAGAGAGGGTGTTGGAAAACCTCTTGGAAAATGGCCACGCTTTGAATTAAGACTAAAATTATTTAATTGCGGGTTTTCCATGAGGAATACTTGGCCTCTTAAGAGGCATCCTTAATGAAACATAATAATCCTGAGCTTAGATAAATATTTACTTGGGCTTAAATGGGTTTTCTTAGGGATAATGAAAGGATTTTCATTTCTTATAAAAATAAACATATTTTTGTGTATATTAAATACTTTTAAATGAGAAACCATAGCCACAAATCATATATATTTACTATAAATATTTTTTAATTAATTTAAAATGAATTAAGAGAAGGGTTTCGAATATTATTATTCATCTTCTTATAAAGTTTAAAACATTTTTGTAGATAATTAAAGCCCATGAAGATAGATTACATTTTTATGCATGAAACCTTCACCTAAATTCCATAATTTCTTAAGTTTTCTCCTTTATTATCTCCAACTTAAAATTAAATTTAAACACACAAATTAAAACATGAAAAAATCTCTTCTTAAAATCAAACAAAAATCTCCGATTTCCTATTCCTATTTCAGTCATGTAACTCCCAAATAAATCTCAATAAGCCACAATTTATTGGCCTAAAAGGAAGTGGTCAACAAATGTGCACCATTCACTTTTATTACCTAATTTATATTTAATGGTTAATGGCCACCTATTAACCGGAAGCATGTTAAATGGCCAAATTAGGCGTAGTTTTTACGAAACTTACTTGATAATCTTGAATATAAAATAATTTACTATTTTTCTTACATTTATTTTCTTTAGGCAATGACTTGGACTCTATACGAGCCTTGTTTAGTGAGAAGGAAAAGGAGCTTAGCTTGGCGGTGGCCAAAGTGGAGGCTTTAACCCGCCAACTGGAGGAGCTAAGACGTGACCGCCGATGTCCAGTGAATCTACTGGCAGCCACAGGCAATGGCGTGGGCCAAGCCCTGCCACCGCAGGCTTCCCGCGAACTGGAGAAGCTGCGACGCGAATTGATGGTAAGTTGAGTGTATATAATATATATTATATAATATATAGTATTTATAATTTGTAGTACATAGTTTTTGCCTTTAATTGCATGCATTTCCCACAAGAATTCCACTTCGCTGGCTTAACTAATGAGCGTTGGTGGTTAGCGAGGGTGTTAAAACGTGCAATTAAAGGTGACTTAGATGTATAGCTTTAATTTAATATTAAATTGAACAAGTTTTAAAGTATTAATTTACATATTTTCTTAATTATTTTTGCAGTATCGCAACCAGCTGTCGCTGCAACAGGACGCCAGGTTGCACATGCAACGCGAGGCCTTGCAGCAAAGGCAGGCGGAGCTGCGCTCCGTGGACCAGCGCATCTACGAGCTGCAGACGCGCCTGCAGCGCAAGAAGCAGGCCAATACCCATCACCAGCAGCAGCAGCAGCACCAGCAACTCCAGCAGGTGCAGCAACAGCAACAACAACAGGTGCAACAACAGCAGCAGCAGCAGCAGTTGCATGTTCAGTCGGCACAATTGCTGGCGGCAGCAGCAGCAGCCTCAGCACAGCAGCAACAGCAACAACAACAGCAGCAGCAACATCAACAGCAGCAGCAACAAAAGCAGCAACAGACCTTGGCCTACCAGCAACCCGGACAAACTGGCAAACATGGCGGCGGAGTGGCCGCCTTGAAGCAGCAACTCCTCCAGAAACAGGTCAACCAGCTGGCAGCCGCTGCTGCTGCCGCTGCCGCTGGACGAGCACGTGGCAATGTGGCTGCCGTGGAGCCCTTCATCCACACGCCCCAAAAGTCGACCATCACCAGCACGGCAAGCTATCTTAGTGGCGGGATGAAGCATGCGGCGGCCACGGCCAATACCAACCAGCAGAACCAGCTCATCCAGGATCTGACGCATGTCAAGAACAGTGGTTTCTTTGCGGGATCCGTGCCCGTTTCCGTGCCAGTGCCAGTGCCCAGTTCCAGCAGTGAGAGTGATGAGTCCAAGCTGGCCAAGAAATCCAAGTCAGAGGCGGAGCTGCGCAAGCAGGCTCAAACCGAAGCCATGGATAGTACCACACATATCTATGCGGAGGTGGGACCCAAAAAGAGGGATAGAGAAGCGGCAGCAGCGGCGGCAGCAGCAGCAGCAGCAGCAGCTCAAGCAACAGCTGAGGCAGCAGCAACCACAGCAGCAGCGGCGGCAGCAACAGCCACATCCCCGCCAGCTTCAGCCAGCAAAATCCCGAAAAGCATCTCCTCCTCCAGCAGCTCAGCCTCCGCCTTGATCAGCAAGCTCAACCAGGCCACGGCCAAGGACAGCAGCCACCAGGATCAGCAGCAAAAGAAGAATGAGATTTCGGTGACCAGCGAAACCCTATCGGAGCGCAACACCCAGCAGCAGCTCACCGTGCACAGCATGCCCCTGGGAGCTGTGAGTAAATCCGTGGCCATGGCCGTCTCCAATGCCGCCTCCAAGCCTCTCCAAGTTCAAGTAAGCAACCTGGCAGTGCCGCCCCGCAAGCCCATCAGCAGTGTGGCGCCCACTTCGGTGTCCAGCGGTGGCAGCTCCATACCCAAGATGATAACCTACAGTCCCAAGGTGAACCGAGTGGCGCCCAATGTGGTGATGACGGATCCCAGGCCGGCGTTGCCACCCAAGCCCAGCAAGATGTCGCCCACCGAACAGCCCTCGCCAGTGGAGGTTACATCAACAGCCTCCACAGGAGCGGGAGCGGGAACTGGAACAACAGGAGGAGCTGGAGCTTCATCATCGTCGGGATCTAGCAAAACCCAAGCAGCCACCTTTGGCCTGCAATCCCTGAACATCAACGACAACTTGCCCATCAAGGCCAAACCGCTGACCATTCGCAAGCAGCCGCTGTTCGAGCAACCGCGTCTCAAGGCCGCCTCCAATGGCGGGCAGCCGAAGCAGCCAGCGCTTCTGCAGCTCCAGAGTCAAAGGAAATCGGAACCAGGAGCCATCAGACAGACAACAGAGGCCTTGAAGACGACAGCTTCGCCGGAAGCCTCGCCCCAGCACTCGCCCAGCAGCGGCGGTGAATCCAGTGCCGATGAAACAGATCGCATGGTGGCCCCAACGGCGGGTCAGCAGGAGGCCACCACATCCCCATCTGCCGGCAGCACTACAACCACAACGAGCAACATCAAGGAGCGAACTGGAACTGGCAACAAGCCCAAGCTGGCACGTCGCGTCAGCTTTGATCCCTTGGCCCTGCTCTTGGACGCCAGCTTGGAGGGTGAACTGGAGCTGGTAAAGAAGACGGCCATGCAGGTGGCGAATCCCAGTGCGGCCAACGATGAGGGCATCACTGCCCTCCACAATGCCATCTGTGCGGGACACTTTGACATTGTCAAGTAGGTGTCACTTTTAGTCTTAGTTTTCTTGAATTTCCTTTTGGTTTTCCCTTAATTAATCATTTTCTTGCTTAGATTCCTGGTGGAATTCGGTTGCGATGTGAATGCCCAGGACTCGGATGGCTGGACGCCACTGCATTGTGCCGCCAGCTGCAATAACCTGTCCATGGTCAAGTTCCTGGTGGAGAGCGGCGCCTGTCTGTTTGCCTCCACGCTCTCAGATCATGAAACGCCGGCGGAGAAGTGCGAGGAGGATGAGGAGGGCTTTGATGGCTGCTCGGAGTATCTTTATAGTAAGTGGGGGAGAGGAATGGGTTTAAGGATTTTCAATGAGGTTTACAGATGATGTCTGAGTGGATTTTCAGGAAAAGGGGTTCAAGCTAGAAGGGAGATTGGCTTCTAGAGAAGTTTTTCCACGAAATATTTATATTTTTATGGTAGTTCTTGGCCATATTAGGCTGCTTCCTCCTATGTTATCAGCTTAAAGGATAAACCTCCTTTAATTTGTTACCTTAAAATCAAAAAGCGTCTTTTAAACTTTGTAAAAATTCCCACTAATTCCTTGGTTTTCTTATATTTCCCCACAGGCATTCAGGAGAAGCTGGGCATCCTGCACAATGGCGACGTGTACTCCGTGTTCTCCTACGAGGCCCAAAACGGCGATGAGTTGTCCTTCCATGTGAATGAGCCGCTGATCGTGCTACGCAAGGGCGACGATGCCGAGAACGAGTGGTGGTGGGCCCGCAATGCCAGCGGCGAGGAGGGCTACGTGCCCCGGAACCTCCTAGGGGTGAGTCCAACAAATAGCTCCACGTACTCGTCCTGCAACGAACTCCTTTTCTCTCTTTCTCTTTTCACAGCTGTACCCACGTGTGCCGCCGCAGTCACCGCACTTCAGCGATTAGCAGTTAATACGCTTCACCATTCTGAAGCGCAAGGCCGGGAGACTCATCCAGAAGCGTTACATATCCAAGTACATCTAGGAAGCTGAAGATTCTGAGCACGTGCCGCTGCCGCAGGAGTCATTGGGGAATTATTTATCACAGCTCGAAATGTTTTCTTTTTGTTTACTTTTTGTTTTGGGAAAAGCAACACAAAGGGATGCGAAAGCTGGTAAAAGTCAGAGGAGCTGCGCCCATATGCTCAACCATATGGAATGGCACCAACTGCAGCAGCTTCCGGCTTGGCCATTTATCTCGACGACTGGCCCCAATTAGCAGGCACAGAGTTACACACAAACACACTGGACGAACAGGACCACATATCCACCACCTCCCCCTGCATATGTACAACCGCAAATTGAATTTCACTTAAGCTCCTTAGCTTTAAGGCCTAGACTAATGCCAATAACTCACCATCAGCCGCCTGCTCGCCACACAAGAAACTTCACCTTCGAGCTGGGAAAAAGCTTTGAAATTGAAAAGCGAGAAAAGCAAGAAAAGCGAGAAAAGCCATCGAAGGAGTTTTGTTAATTGCATATATCAAGTTAGCACTTAAAAGCCTAATTGAACTCGAACCAAGTTCAGTAAACATTTAATGGTAAAGCGAATACGAAGACATAACGAATCGAATGTGATTTTTGTATAAAGACGAGAATAATTTAAACAATTTGTATCGAATATATATGGAGGGTTCGCATTATTAGGTTATACTAATTAATTTTATTTTAAAATTAACTCTAATATTATCTTTAACTCTAATTTAACTTAATTACACTTAATGTAACAATCGATTGCTTAATTCCTAGCTCTTAAGGACCAAGCCCCACACACCCCCACTACTTAAAATGCAACAAAATACGTTTGAAAAATGAAAATAAAACAATTAAGAAAGCTTGAGAGATGGAGAGTGTTTGATTTATTTCCTGGGATTGTATCTCATTACAGCATAGGAACGCAGCTTAAAACTGCAATCGAACTGCAGCTCGTGTTCAGTATTCAATTGCGGGTTCCAGCAGTAGGAACTGGGAATTCTCTGAGAATTCTCCGCCGTTTTCCGAGTGAAAAAGCTTTTCCGGCACGCGAACATCAATTAAATTTGAGTCTATATTGTAAATGCTGATTACGTGACTTTCGAAGGCGTTTTACATATTAATAAATCTTTGTAAAAGTAAACAATTTGTATTCGATGAATGTTTACAATGTCAACTGATGATAACAATATATAAAATGGATTAGGGAGTTATGACACTGCATTTGTTTTGACATAAGCAGCATAAGTCATCAGTGGATTAGCTTTTGTGGATCTTAAGCCATCTACTCCGCAGTTATTTTGGCAAAAGATCAAGAACCAGAACGAAGGACTCTCTTAATAAACAAGAAAAAGCTTTTATCTTTCAGCTAACAACCTTCAGCGGAGAAAGAAGTTCAACTTAGAGAAAATATAAAAAATATTGAAGACTTTACATAAAATTTAAATATTAAAACAATGAAATTTCGCCTGTTATGGGGAATCCTCTTAGTTGGGGCCTTCTATTCCCAGCTAGAATTAGTAGAAGGAGCCAAGATTCTGGCAGTGTACGCCTTTCCAGGTAAGAATTTCCCTAACTATATTACATCTTTATGATCCTATGTGTGTTCCTGGCCCAGGCAAATCCCATTTCATGATGCACACGGCCTTGATGAGAGAACTCGTTGAAAGTGGCCATCAGGTGACCATGATCACGGCCTTCTCTCTGCAGAAAGAACATCTGGGCAGTAATTATACGGAAATCTTGATCGAACCGGTCTATGATTTCTGGCACGATGGTGAGTGTAAAAAATGAAACATCAAATCCATGAGATCAGCCGTACTCATCCATCATCATTAACTCGGAATATGCCAATCCAGTCAAGCTGAACTTTGGAGCCCAACACCTGTTCGAGCTAACACGCATGACCAACTATGACTTTCTAAAGATGCTCGAGATCATAGGTCTAAAGACCACGGAACATGCTCTCAAGCAGCCCAAGGTTCAGGCTCTCATCCATGCCAAAAAAATAGAGGGGGTCTTTGATCTTCTCTTGGCGGAGCAATTCTACCAGGAAGCCTTCTTGGCTTTGGCCAAGATCTACAAGATACCCGTGGTCACCACGAGCACCTTGGGCTACGAGAATCACATGAGCCAGATGATGGGTCTGATCACGCCTTGGTCCTTTGTCCCACATGGATTCATGCCCTTCACGGATCGCATGAGTTTCCTGGAGAGAGTGAAGAACTCGTATGCCTCACTCTACGAGGATTTGGACAGGCTGCTCAATTACTTTCCCAAAATGGATGCGGTGACAAGGGAATTCTTTGGCTCCGTCTTAGGTGAGCATAAAACAGAAGCTTCTCTCCAGAGACTCATCATCCGTGTTCCTTACAGCTGAGGTGCCAAAAGTCAAGGACATGGAGCGTCAAATCTCGGTGATGCTGCTCAACAGTCACGCACCGCTGACCACGGCACGTCCAACGGTGGATGCCATGGTGCCAGTGGGTGGCATGCATTTATATCCTCCCAAGGCTCTTCCCCAGGACATGCAGACCTTTTTGGACGGAGCTGGCGAGGCGGGTGCCATCTACTTCAGTCTGGGCAGCAATGTTCAGAGCAAGGACATGCCGCCGGAGATGATGCGCCTGTTTCTGCGGGTCTTTGGTTCTCTCCAGCAGCGGGTTCTTTGGAAATTCGAGGACGAGAGCATTGGACAGCTGCCTGAAAATGTGATGGTGCGCAAGTGGCTGCCCCAGGCGGATATTCTGGCCCATCGCCACGTCAAGGTTTTCATCACGCACGGCGGCCTCTTCGGCACTCAGGAGGGTGTCCACTATGCGGTTCCCATGCTGGGGATTCCCTTCTACTGTGACCAGGTGAGAGGACTCACAACTTATAATCAGGATAATCGAAAAACTTGACTTTCTTTCCTATTGTCCAGCACTTGAACATGAATAAGGCCGTTCTGGGCGGTTATGCCATCAGTCTGCATTTCCAGTCCATCACCGAGGAGATCCTAAGGCACTCCCTTCTCCAACTCATCCATAATGCCACCTACAAGGAGAACATTCAGCGAGTGTCAAACATCTTCAGGGATAGACAGCAGCCGCCACGACGAACCGCTGTCTACTGGATCGAGTATGTCATCCGGCATGGAGGAGCTCCGCACATGCGATCTGCTGGCCTGGACCTTAACTGGTTCCAGTTCTATTTGCTGGATGTTATTGCCTTTGCTGTAGTCATTATAGTTGTTGGAATCCTGGCCATTTGGCTGGCCATTCGACTGTTGATGGGCAGCGACAAGAAGCACAGGAAAACTAAGAAAAATTAGTAGATTTTGAGATGTTTTTAATAAAATTCCATTAACTAGAAACCCAAAAAGAAAGAATGCTTACTTCGGAAAGCCGAATGGGATAAAAAGACCCAATTTATAATCGATCAAAATATATATAATTGATTATAAAATATTAAATAATTGTATATAAATAAGTTAGACTTTTAGTTTAGCTTTCACCGGATTTTTGGGATTTTTATTCCCTTAAATAAAAGCATTATTTAAATCAATATTTTTTTTATTCGATAAATTAAAGTTTAAACAAGAAAGGAAGCTAACTTCGGCACGCCGAAGTTTGTATGCCCTTGCAGATATTATTTTATTACATTTTAACTATACTTATTATGTTTACAGTTTGATAGTTACAGTTACATTCCTAGCTTTTCATTTTCTCAACATCTACCGATCGCTTCTATGGCAGCTATATGATATAGTTGTCCGATTTTCATAAAATTTATACCAAAATTATAAAATAATAACAAAAGCTTATATATATATTTTCGTACTTATTTTATTGAGTAAGGCATGGGGTTTATATAGGTGTTATTGGGTCAAAGATTAACTTTGGATTAACTTTGAGAGTATATTATATTTGATAAACAAGAAGATAAGCTTTGGCATATCTTTCAATGCAGCCCAAAAGATGTGCCACTATTGCTTATTTTTTAAGAGCATACTTTCAGTCAGATGTATGATAAATCATATATATTCTTGATCAGTATTAACAGGCGAATCTTACTAGACTTGTTTTGCAGAAAAAAAATTTTGATCTTATTTTTTCAAAATTCTATAAGGGGTTGCATCATTAAATTGGCCAAAAATTGATAAAAATTTTGATATCCCAAAAGGTAAAATTTAGTATGCAGTTTTGTTAACCTAGAAAAAACTAGCACAGAAAAGCTTTCCGAACTGATTTCGATGTTTTATTGGCTTAATTATGATTTTTATACCCTTGCAGGGTATAATTATAATTTCAGTCAGAAGTTTGCAACGCAGTGATGGAGACCTTTCCAACCCTATAAAGTAATTTTATATAATTTTAGGATTGTCAGAGATGAAGCTGGAGGAGCGAGCAGATGGCTGGACAGACCTCAACCGGATGGCAGTAGAGGACGGTGATCGGATCTTGGCTCCGGGCTATATGAAAGCCTGCAGAAGGCGTAAATAATTCAAATATTTATAAATACAATTTAAATATGTAAATGTAATTGATGGAACACACAAATATGAATCAATAAAAGATGGTGAATTCAATGTGCAATCGTTTGGTAAAGGCGGCATTTATTTGGGATCGTTTGGGGAAAAATATAATTATTTTGAAAGCCAAATCTAAATTTTTAAATTTTTTTTCTTAATTTTAAACATTTGTTTCGGATGTTTTACAATTTTTCTAAATTACAAATTTTTGTTTCTAAATATTTAAAACGTTTCTGAATTCTTAAAATTTTGTCTGAATTTTTAAAATTTTTTTTCAGTTTTTTTTTATTTTTTAGAATTTTTTTTAGAATTTGTTAAATTTTTTTAAATGTTGTAACTGCCAAATTTGAATTTGAATTTAACTGTCAAATTTGAATTAAACGACGATCAGTTTCAGTGTGCCCAGGTGCAGTTGTAAAATATCACCTAAATATAGATTCAAAAGGTTTGAGTCTCCGCTAACGTGCGCCGGCTCCTAAATGGTTTGAAACTTGGACTTTTTATAACAGTTTATACCAGTTTTCAGTCGCTTGCTGCTGATTTCTGTTCGCCTGGTACCCCAATTTGGGAAACGGGCAATTTGCATGGAAATGTTCGGAGATTTGGATGGGCTGCTGTAGGGATGTTGTTGTAAAAAGGTTGTTGTTGCCATAAGCTGTTGTTGTCGGCAACAAATACATAGGTATAAATGCATAGAATGAAATATAACAGTTTATACCAATTATTATTTTTGCCCAATAGTTTTTATAACAGTTTATACCAGTTTCCAGTTGCTTGCTGCTGGTTTCTGTTCGCCTGTTACCCCAGTTTTGGCAACGGCCAAATTGGATGGAAATTTTTGCTGACTTGCATGAGTGATGCTCATCTGCATCAGTGATGCTCATCTGCATCAGTGATGCTCATCTGGCTATATTTCAATATTGGGGGGCAATAAAGTCGGGCTTAATGGCAGTGATGCTCATGTGCATCAGTGATGCTCATCTAGCTATTTTTTGCTTTCTTGGTAGAAAATTGTAGCTCACTAGCTGCCAGTGATGCTCATCTAGCTATTTTGCATTATTGGTAGAAAATTGCATCTCACTAGCTGCCAGTGATGCTCATCTAGCTATTTTGCATTATTTGCATTTATTTCTCACTAACTGTCAGTGATGCTCATCTAGCTATTTTGCATTATTTGCATTTATTTCTCACTAACTGTCAGTAATGCTCATCTAGCTATTTTGCATTATTGGGACAACATGGCAACTCACTAACTGCCAGTGATGCTCATCTAAGCAAAATAGCTAGATGAGCATCACTGGCAGCTGGTGAGATGACATTTTCTACCAAGAACGCAAAAAAATAGCTAGATGAGCATCACTGATGCACATGAGCATCACTGCCATTAAGCTCGACTATATTGCCCCCCAATATTGAAATATAGCCAGATGAGCATCACTGATGCAGATGAGCATCACTGATGCAGATGAGCATCACTCATGCAAGTCAGCAAAAATTTCCATCCAATTTGGCCGTTGCCAAAACTGGGGTAACAGGCGAACAGAAACCAGCAGCAAGCAACTGGAAACTGGTATAAACTGTTATAAAAACTATTGGGCAAAAATAATAATTGGTATAAACTGTTATATTTCATTTTATGCATTTATACCTATTTGTTGCCGACAACAGCTTATGGCAACAACAACCTTTTTACAACAACATCCCTACAGCAGCCCATCCAAATTTCCGAACATTTCCATGCAAATTGCCCGTTTCCCAAATTGGGGTACCAGGCGAACAGAAATCAGCAGCAAGCGACTGAAAACTGGTATAAACTGTTATAAAAAGTCCAAGTTTCAAACCATTTAGGAGCCGGCGCACGTTAGCGGAGACTCAAACCTTTTGAATCTATATTTAGGTGATATTTTACAACTGCACCTGGGCACACTGAAACTGATCGTCGTTTAATTCAAATTTGACAGTTAAATTCAAATTCAAATTTGGCAGTTACAACATTTAAAAAAATTTAACAAATTCTAAAAAAAAATTCTAAAAAATAAAAAAAATCTGAAAAAAAATTTTAAAAATTCAGACAAAATTTTAAGAATTCAGAAACGTTTTAAATATTTAGAAACAAAAATTTGTAATTTAGAAAAATTGTAAAACATCCGAAACAAATGTTTAAAATTAAGAAAAAAAATTTAAAAATTTAGATTTGGCTTTCAAAATAATTATATTTTTCCCCAAACGATCCCAAATAAATGCCGCCTTTACCAAACGATTGCACATTGAATTCACCATCTTTTATTGATTCATATTTGTGTGTTCCATCAATTACATTTACATATTTAAATTGTATTTATAAATATTTGAATTATTTACGCCTTCTGCAGGCTTTCATATAGCCCGGAGCCAAGATCCGATCACCGTCCTCTACTGCCATCCGGTTGAGGTCTGTCCAGCCATCTGCTCGCTCCTCCAGCTTCATCTCTGACAATCCTAAAATTATATAAAATTACTTTATAGGGTTGGAAAGGTCTCCATCACTGCGTTGCAAACTTCTGACTGAAATTATAATTATACCCTGCAAGGGTATAAAAATCATAATTAAGCCAATAAAACATCGAAATCAGTTCGGAAAGCTTTTCTGTGCTAGTTTTTTCTAGGTTAACAAAACTGCATACTAAATTTTACCTTTTGGGATATCAAAATTTTTATCAATTTTTGGCCAATTTAATGATGTAACCCCTTATAGAATTTTGAAAAAATAAGACCAAAATTTTTTTTCTGCAAAACAAGTCTAGTAAGATTCGCCTGTTAATACTGATCAAGAATATATATGATTTATAGGGTCGGAAATGACTCCTTCACTGGGAAATCAACATCTGACTGAAAGTATGCTCTTAAAAAATAAGCAATAGTGGCACATCTTTTGGGCTGCATTGAAAGATATGCCAAAGCTTATCTTCTTGTTTATCAAAGTTAATCCAAAATTAATCTTTGACCCAATAACACCTATATAAACCCCATGGATTACTCAATAAAATAAGTACGAAAATATTTCTTTACTGTTGCTACTGATCTATATCAATACTAAAGATTTTATTGAAGTCCCCACATATATTATTTAGGAAACACTTTCGTAGGGGATTTAGGAGACGCTAGACCTAAGAACCGGTTGCTAATTAAAAAGCAATTGAGCATATTTTAAATAAATAAAATCAAAATACAATATATATTTCTTATCGCAGTCATTCGAGAATTTAAGTTTGAGGCAGAAGTGGACTGGTCTCCTTGGGGCTTTTAAGATTTATCACCATTTTTTTCATCGAAATCACAGTACTTCTACAGAAATTTAGATGAGTTAAATCATTCAAGTCTCATATATAAATAAAGAAATGTCATAAAACTCAGGAACATTTCAAGAGATTACTTCGGTCTTGGCAGGTCTTCTCTTTTTCGTCGGCAAACCGTTGAAGATGTTCTCTTTGCAAATTTAAGGGGCTCTCTAGACTCGATAAATATATATAGATATATAGCTATCTTGAAACAAAAACTAGAACTATTAATTAGTTGCCGGAAAATCGTCGTTCGTGTCGGTTGCCAAAAAATATAAAAAACGGAATGGTGTGTTTAGGTGGCTGTAAAGATAATTTTTAAACTTGCACAAACCGAGACTTAAAATTAAATTTAAAGATTGCACAATGCAATTTACCCTGATCTTTGGACTTCTCCTAGCTGGGGGATTCTATTCCCAGCTGGAATTAGCAGAAGGAGCCAAGATTCTGGCAGTATATGCCTATCCAGGTAAGGTTTCCCTAACTAGATTATATCTTTATGATCCTATATGTATTCCTGGACCAGGCAAATCTCATTTCATGATGCACAATGCATTAATGAGAGAACTTGTTGAAAGTGGCCATCAGGTGACCATGATCACGGCCTTTTCCCTGGAGAAAGAACAGCTGGGCGAGAACTTCACGGAGATCCTAATAGAACCTGTATATGATTACTGGAACGATGGTGAGTAGAAAAAATAAAATAAATACTAAGAAAAAGTCATCTTAATCCAAATACAGTCAAGCAGAACTTTAAAGCCGATCACCTGTTCGAGCTGACCCGACTGACCAGCCATGATTTCCTGAAGATGCTCGAGATCATAGGTCTCAAGACCACGGAACATGCTCTCAAGCAGCCCAAGGTTCAGGCTCTCATCCATGCCCAGGAGACGGAGGGGGTCTTTGATCTCCTCCTGGCGGAGCAATTCTACCAAGAGGCCTTCTTGGCTTTTGCCAAGATTTACAAGATACCAGTGGTGACCACGAGCACTCTTAGTTATGAGAACAACATGAGCCAGATGATGGGTCTGATTTCACCTTGGTCCTTTGTCCCTCACGGTTTCTCGCCCTTTACGGATCGCATGAATTTTCTGGAGAGAGTGACGAACTCGTATGTGTCTTTGTACGAGGATTTGCAAAGGCTCCTCAGCTACTTTCCCAAAATGGATGCCGTGACAAGGGAGTTCTTTGGTCCCGTTCTGGGTTAGTTAATGAGAGAAGCTTCTCTATTTAAAGTCATTAATCGTTTCTTGCAGGTGAAGTGCCAAAGGTAAGGCACATGGAGCGCCAAATCTCTCTGATGCTACTTAATGGTCATGCACCAATGACCACGGCACGCCCCACGGTGGATGCCATGGTCCCAGTGGGTGGCATGCATATATATCCGCCCAAAGCTCTTCCCCAGGACATGCAGGCCTTCTTGGACGGTGCCGGCGAAGCAGGCGCCATTTACTTCAGCCTGGGCAGCAATGTCCAGAGCAAGGACATGCCGCCAGAGATGCTGAGCCTGTTCCTGCGGGTCTTTGGTTCCCTCCAGCAGCGGGTTCTTTGGAAATTCGAGGACGAAAGCATTGGCCAGCTGCCGGAGAATGTGATGGTACGCAAGTGGATGCCCCAGGCGGATATTCTGGCCCATCGCCACGTCAAGGTGTTCATCACGCACGGCGGCCTCTTCGGCACCCAGGAGGGTGTCCACTATGCAGTGCCCATGCTGGGAATACCCATCTACTGTGATCAGGTGAGCAGAGGAGAGAGGTCCGCCATAAAGAATAATCTGAATAAACGGAATACTTATCTTCCAGCACTTGAATATAAACCAAGCCGTGCTGGGGGGCTATGCCATCAGTCTACACTTCCAGTCCATCACCGAGGAGAGCCTACGGCACTCCTTGCATCAACTCCTGCATAATAGCACCTACAAGGAAACCATTCAGCGGATGTCAAACATCTTCAGGGATAGACCTCAGGATCCTCGACGAACCGCTGTCTACTGGATCGAGTATGTCATCCGGCATGGAGGAGCTCCGCACATGCGATCCGCTGGCTTGGACCTCAATTGGTTCCAGTTCTATTTGCTGGATGTGATTGGCTTTGCTGTAGTCATTTTGATAGCTGGAATCCTGACCATTTGGCTAGCTATTCGACTGCTGATGCGCAGTTACAAGAAGCTCAGGAAAACTAAGAATGAGTAGCTATTGTAAATTTTTGCTCTGTTAGGGTATTAAAGAAAAGGAGGCAATCTTTGAAATTATATATATTTTTTGACAGTATCAAGAATAAAATATTGTTTGTCTTCATGGTGAGATTTATATTCCAAAATAAAATAGCCTAAGAAATCTTGGTTAAAAATCAAATTTTAGTGGTAAAGCTTCCATTTTGTAAAATAGTTTAAGGTCTTGTGGAGAAAACAACACCTTTTATTATTTGAATTTTAATTGCCAATCGAAATATATGAAACATTCGTTTGTTTGTTTCGATGCCCCCAAGAGGACCAGAAGTTAGTACTCTATAGGGACTTGAAATCAATATTTATCAATAAAATTGTTGTTTTTTTTTGTAAAATTAAAGTTTAAAAAAAGCAAAACAAAACATTTATTTCAATTGGAATTATATATAATAAATAGAACACCATGTTCTGCAGCTTTTTCCTGTCTGAATAGACTACTTTGATGTGATGCCTCATTCACCTGTCAAAGGCAAATCTAGTTCTCCGCACGCTTCTCACATATTATTCACGAAATAGACTTTCAGAGTGACTTAGTTTACCCCTCCAAAAACGAGTTTCCAATTAAACAACCGATCTAGCGTTTTATAATCAAATCAAGTCATTAAAATAGTTCCTAATCACAGTCGTTCGCGTGCTGCAGTTCGAGGCAGATGTGGATTGCTTCCCTTGCAGAGCAACAGAGGCCGTAAAAATGGTTAGTTGAACTTATTTATTTGAATATTATATTATAAACAAAACTAGATAAAGAATACTAGAGCATTTTAATTTTTATTTAATAATTATAAGATTGTTAAACCTTGATCTGAACAGATAGAAACCAAACCAATGGGTATTATACAAGGTTAAAAATGTAAATAACAACTCAGAAGGCCACAGTAAAGACCTTTGAATAATTAGTAAAAAAAAATAACTGCGGAAAGAAATAGGCTAACGATCACATGAGGATATAGGAACATTATAAACTAGGTAGCGGTTTTCCATAATAAGAAGAGTGATATGGAGATCAAAGAGACTGCTTTTTATAGAAGTGATTCCCAGAATTTAGCATTACTGTAGCACTATAAATCAAAAAGTTTATAAATAAAAACAAATGAGTCAAAACATTCAAGTCACTTATGTTATCTATAAAGATATACCATAAACTATGGAACTATCACAAAACTAATGAATGCTTTTCTTTTCTTAGTGTTTCTTATAATTATAAGATAGTTGTCATAGATCTTTAGAATTTAATAATAAACTTCTGCCCCTTTCTTGAAAAATTGCCTCTTTACAAAATGGCACGGGTTCCCTAGACTCGATTAATACATATATCTGAACACTTTAACTAAAACTATTTATTAGTTCTCGGAAAATCTTCGCTCGTGTCGGCTGCCTACAAAAATAAATATCAAAATGGTTTGTTTACTTTTCTGTGAGGGAATATTACGACTTTGGGGGGTCAAATTCAAGGGTAAAAACATTAATAATTATAATTACTTTATAATACGTATTATAATTACTCGATTATGAATTCAGATAGTAAGTCACAATATAATTTATATCTTTCCGTAGCAATTCCGTAGAGCTCTACACATCTTCCTCCTGAGTCTGGTGGCTCTTCAGCAGCTGGACCTGGGTGCTGGTTCCCGCATCCTGGCAGCCTATTTCTTTCCGAGTAAGAGTCACTTTATGATGACCAATGCCATCATCCGGGAACTGGTAAAACGAGGTCATGAGGTCACCTTTATTACCCCATTCTCCTTGGCCAAGGAGAAGCTGGGACCCAACTACAAGGAAATTGTGATTCCGCAGTACGACTTCTGGCCAGAGAGTAAGAGCAGGCTTAGTAACGCACTAATCAGTAGCCCACTAATCATTATCTCTTAGCTCAGGAACTGACCAACACCAACACCGTTCTAGAGATGAGCGATTTGCCCAATTTGACCTTTGTTCGTTTGGTCTACATTATGGGTCTTCGCAGCACGGACTTTGCCTTCGAACAGCCGGGCGTTAAGGAATTAATCAATGCCAAGGATAAGGTGGGGAAGTATGATCTCCTGCTGGCACCGCAGTTCTACAACGAGGGAGCCCTCATCCTGGGACACCTCTATCAGATTCCAATCATAACCACATCGTCCTACGGGTTTGCCAACTTCTTCAGCCAGATGGTGGGCATAGTGTCTCCCTGGTCTTTTGTCCCAAACGCCTTTATGCCCTATAGTGATCGGATGACTCTGTGGGAGCGTATTGGGAATGTGGCCAATAGTGGCATTGAAGATCTCATGAGGGAGTTCTCCTATTACCCGAAGCAGGATGCCATTCTTCAGAAGCACTTCTCCAAGTTGCTGGACAGAGTTCCCTCAGTCAAGGAGCTGGAGAGGAATATCTCAGCGATTCTGTTGAACAATTACATGCCCCTGGCCTCACCCAGACCCATTTCCTACAACATGATTCAAGTGGGTGGTCTGCACATTCAATCGCCAAAGACTCTGCCGGAGGATCTACAGAAGTTCCTGGATGGAGCCACTCATGGAGCAATATACTTCAGCCTGGGTGAGTGTTGTTATATTACTTTTTTCAAATATATAAATGAATTTTAATCTTTATCTTTTAGGTTACCAAGTCCGCAGTGCCGATATGCCGCCTGAAAAGCTAAAGATTTTCCTGGATGTCTTTGGCAGTCTGAAGCAGCGGGTTCTGTGGAAGTTCGAGAACGAGACTATACCCAGTCTGCCAGCCAATGTGAAGGTTCGGAGCTGGTTGCCTCAGGCTGACATCCTGGCCCATCCAAATGTTATAGTATTCATCGCCCATGGAGGACTCTTTGGCACACAGGAAGCGGTGCACAATGGAGTCCCCATCCTGGGAATGCCGATCTACTGTGACCAGCACCTGAACATCCATCAGGGCAAGAAGGCGGGCTATGCTTTGGGTCTGGACTATCGGACAGTCACGGAGGCAGAGCTCAGAGGATCGCTTCTGGAGCTGATTGAGAATCCCAAGTACAGGAATACTATGAAGAAGGCTTCCAAGGTGTTTCGTGATCGACCCCTCAGCGCCATGGATACAGCCATGTACTGGATAAACTATGTAATCGAGCACCGAGGAGCTCCACATCTTGTTTCAGCTGGGGTACACCTGCCCTGGTATCAGTTTTACATTCTGGACATTGTCGGTCTAGGGCTTTTGCTTCTTTTATTGCCAATTATGCTGTTAAACTTTATTTGCCGCAGGAAATTCAGCTCTACAAAATCTTTAAAGAAAACAAAGCAAAATTAAGGAAAAAAAAAAAAAAAAAATACAATTTTCTTTCTTTAAGTGTATTTCTATTTGGGAAAGTTTTTATTTGGCGTTATCTAAAGACGAACCTATGATATGAAACAATATTTCAGGAGATTAGCAACACTTGGGCTTTATCAACATCTCTACCATTATCATTATCATTAGAAGCATAAGTCTCGCCAAAAATGGTCCATGGGCCAAGTCGCAGAGCTTAGAGAAACGTCTATTAGATTGGTCTTTCAGTGGCACATTCAGTGGTACATATATCTGGTGGAGAACTATTCGGAATAGAAATGGTTTGTAAACTCCATGAAAGTCATTGATTTAAGTTCAATATCTTGTAGTTAACAAATTAGCAAGCCGAGTTAATAAATTATAACAATAAATGACAAACCAGCATATCTAAATCAATAAAAAGTTTGTAAACTATTCAAAGGGTTTTTTTTTTAAATAATGTTCTAAATATTTGAATAAAAATTACATAATTCGAGTAAGTAATTTACTTAAAAATAAAAAAGAGAGAATGGAAAAAAAAAGTGTAAAGATAAGATAAGGCCAAAGTCTCATTCAAAATCCTCAGCTACTTAGACACCTTGATGAACTACATACGATTTTTCTTTAAACAGCAATTAAAGAGTCTTCCCCACATTTTGCTACTGAGCATGGTGGCACTCCACCAACTGGATTCGGGCGCTGGGTCACGTATCCTGGCAGCTTTTTTCTTTCCCGGAAGAAGCCACTTTATGATGACCAATGCCATTATCCGGGAACTAGTGAAACGAGGCCATGAAGTCACCTTCATCACACCGTTTTCCTTGGCCAAAGAGAAGCTGGGACCCAACTACAAGGAAATTGTTATTTCGCAATACTATTTCTGGCCAGAGAGTGAGTATTTTAAATAGTATTAATTATGAATATCAATTCAAAGACTAAGCTTTATGATCTAGTTCAAAAGATGACCAAGAGGAGCAGCATTCTGGAGATGTCCGATGTGGACAATTTGACCTTCCTGCGCATAGCCAATGTGATAGGTGTCCACAGCACAGACTTTGCCTTTGAGCAGCCAGAGATCCAGGCATTAATCAATGCCAAGGATAAGGAGGGGAAGTACGATCTCCTCCTGGCAGAGCAGTTCTTCAACGAGGGAGCCCTCATCCTGGGACATCTCTACCAAATACCCACGATCACCGTCTCCACCTTTGGCAATGCCAACTATCTCAGCCAGCTTTTTGGCGTAGTCTCTCCCTGGTCATATGTTCCTCACGCGTATATGCCATATACGGATAAGATGACTCTATGGGAACGCATCGGGAATGTGGCCGTCAGTGGTTCCGAAGATCTCATTAGAGAATTCTCCTATTATCCCCATCAGGATGCCATACTGCAGAAACACTTTTCAAAAACCCTTGATAGAGTTCCTACTATCAAGGAGCTAGAGAGAAATATCTCTGTTGTTCTGCTTAACAGCTACATGCCCCTGGCCTCACCCAGACCCATTTCCTACAATATGATTCAAGTCGGTGGAGTTCACATCCAGCCGACCAAAGCATTACCGGAGGATCTGAAGCAGTTCCTGGATGGAGCCACTCATGGAGCTATTTACTTTAGTCTTGGTAAGGCCAAGAATTTCCATTTCCTTTCTAATTAATACCTTAAGCATTGATTTTGATCATTAGGCTCCCATATACGCAGTGCCGATATGCCGCCTGAAAATCTAAAGATTTTCCTGGATGTCTTTGGTAGGCTGAAGCAGCGGGTTCTGTGGAAGTTCGAGAACGAAACTCTACCCAATCTTCCACCCAATGTGAAGATTCAGAGCTGGTTGCCTCAGGCTGACATCCTGGCCCATCCTAACGTTAAAGTATTCATCGCCCATGGAGGACTCTTTGGCACTCAAGAAGCAGTGCACAATGGCGTTCCCATCCTGGGCATGCCCGTATTTTTCGATCAGCATATGAATATTAACCAAGTCAAGAAGGCGGGCTATGCCTTGGGTTTGGATTATCAGAAGGTGACGGAAGAAGAGCTCAGAGAGTCGCTTCTGGAGCTGATTGAGAATCCCAAGTATAGGGAGAATATGAGGCTGGCATCCAAGGTGTTCCGTGATCGACCCCTCAGCGCCATGGATACGGCAATGTACTGGATAAACTATGTGATTGAGCATCGTGGAGCTCCTCATCTGGTTTCTGCTGGGGTACACCTGCCCTGGTATCAGTTTTACCTGCTGGACATTGCTGGCCTGGCTCTAGTCCTTATTCTTCTGCCGATCATTGCTTTACACATCATTTGCCGCAGAAGCTATAAATCTATGAATTCTCACAAGCTAAAGGCCAAAACAAATTAAAAAAGAAGAGATTATTTATTATTGTTTAAAATAAAGAGACTCTCTTAACAGAATCTTGTGTATTTTTAACTACTCATCTTTTATATTATAACTACTTACATACTTAGTAACTACCTTATTAAATTCGTAAGTTTTTTCAAATAGATAATGCAATTTTTTTGTGTATTTCTTAAAATTATAAATCATGCTTAGTTTGAATAAACTCAATGTAATTTTGATTAATATTTACAAGTCACTTGAATTGTGATTTTGATTCGATTATAGCATAAAACTATAAAGCCTGCTGGTTAAGTTCATTTGTAAGTAAAATATATTACAAAATAAGATTACAAATGTATGCTTATCAGTGGAAGCATTCAAGAACATTCCTTAGATTGACAACAACTAAAATATATTAATATTCCAGCAGATTTCACCACTGAATGAAATAATAGAATTATCTTCAACTTGAAGAATTGTTTTGTTTAAATTGAATTAAATTGATTTTATATAACTTACATTTGTTGTTGCATTTACAATATTTGGAAAAATAATGTTGCTGCTCTTAAAGATTGTTTATTACTCCGCCGTGATGTCTCCGCCTGTCACTCGGCTCTCTCGTTTTCGGACACGAACCCCTTGTAGATTGCCACTTTCGCACTGTCGTGGGTTCTCTAGTACATATATAGAGATCGAGCTACCTAGGAAACCCAATCTAAACTATTTATTATCAACGGTTTGCAGTCGTCGGAGAGTCGTCGTTCGTGTCGGTTGTTGATTCTTCCCCTCAAAATGGTTTGTTGACTTTGCTGTAAATGAATTAATTAAAGATCTTGAAGCTTTCAAAGCTTTTTATTGCTAGAAAACAAATTCAGAGTCAAAGGTTAATAAACTTTGTCAAAAGCTTAACGTTTTCAATAAACAAATAAGCGAAAATAAGAAATGGAAAAATATGCTACTGCTTAACAACAGGTGTTAAAAGTTAGGCAGAGATTAAGACTTCTATAAAATATTTAGAGATAAGATAAGGCAGCTAGATCGCCCTAGTTTTTAATAGATGAAGAAATCAAATAGGTTATTAGTAAGTCACTTATAACTTAATTAATTTTTACTCAGCAGCAATTAAGAAGTACACTGAACATCTTCCTTCTGAGTCTGGTGGCTCTTCAGCAGCTGGACTTGGGTGCTGGCTCCCGCATCCTGGCTGCCTTTATCTTTCCGGGAAAGAGTCACTTCATGATGACCAATGCCATCATAAGGGAACTGGTGAAACGAGGTCATGAGGTCACCTTCATCACTCCGTTCTCTTTGGCAAAGGAAAATCTAGGACCCAACTACAAGGAAATTGTGATTCGGCAGTACGATTTTTGGCCAGAGAGTAAGAGCGATTATTACTAAGATGTAACATACATATATAATTATATATTACCATTAACACTTAGTCAAGGAAATGACCCAGAAGAGCACCGTTCTGGAGATGGCCGATATAGACAACCTGAGCTTCATACGCATGGTGAATATAATGGGTATCCACAGCACAGACTTTGCCTTTGAGCAGCCAGAGATTCAGGCTTTAATCAATGCCAAGGATAAGGTGGGGAAGTATGATCTCCTCCTGGCAGAGCAGTTCTTCAACGAGGGAGCCCTCATCCTGGGACACCTCTATCAAATACCCACGATCACCGTCTCCACCTTCGGTTATGCCAACTACCTCAGCCAGATGTTTGGAATAGTCTCTCCCTGGTCCTATGTTCCTCACTCCTATATGACTTACACTGACAAGATGTCCCTTTGGGAACGAATTCATAATGTGGCCTTATGCGGCGCCGAGGATCTCATGAGGGAGTTCTCATACTACCCGAAGCAGGACGCCGTTCTCAAGAAGCACTTCGCCAATAAGCTTGATAGAGTTCCAACCATCAAGGAGCTGGAGAGAAATATTTCAGTCATTCTGCTGAACAGTTACATGCCACTCTTTTCGCCCAGACCCACTTCCTACAACATGATTCAAGTCGGTGGACTGCACATCCAGCCAACCAAGGCGTTGCCCGAGGATCTGAAGCAGTTCCTGGATGGAGCCACCGATGGAGCTATATACTTCAGTCTGGGTAAATTTAATTCTAATTTATATCAGAGCTTCATTATCTTAACAGTAAACTTTATTCCCTACCTTAGGCTCCCAAGTGCGAAGTGCTGATCTACCGCCGGAGAAACTTAAAGTATTCCTCAATGTCTTCGGTAGTCTGAAGCAGCGGGTTCTGTGGAAGTTCGAGGATGAGAAACTGCCCAATCTGCCAGCCAATGTGAAGGTGCAAAGCTGGTTGCCTCAGGGAGACATCCTGGCCCATCCTAATGTCAAAGTATTTATCGCCCACGGAGGACTCTTTGGCACCCAGGAAGCAGTGTACAATGGAGTTCCCGTCCTGGGAATGCCCGTCTACTGTGATCAGCACCAGAACATCAATCAGGGCAAGAAGGCGGGCTATGCCTTGGGTCTGGACTACCGTACAGTCACGGAGGAAAAGCTCAGGGGACTGCTGCTAGAGTTGATCGATAATCCCAAGTACAGGAACAATATGAAGCAGGCGTCTAAAGTATTCCGTGATCGCCCCCTCAAAGCCATGGATACGGCAATGTACTGGATAAACTATGTGATCGAGCACCGGGGAGCTCCTCACATAGTCTCCGCTGGAGTACAGCTGCCCTGGTATCAGTTCTACCTCCTGGACATTGTGGGATTAGCCTTGGTCCTCATCCTGCTGCCCCTTCTGCTGCTGGTCTGTCTATGCCGCAGAAGCTCGAAGCCCTCAGGAAACCCCAAGAAGAAAACCAAAAAGAATTAGAAGCTAAGATTGTTGGTGTGTTAACTAGAGAGAATTTTGTATAATAGAAGCTTGATATACATTTTTGGTATTAGAAATCTAATTGAAATTGTGAAACAGTAAAAACCCAATAGCAAACTTTTCAGCAAATCAAGAACGTTACTCGAAGAGTAAAATAATAAAAGAAAAGCCTGCAGCATTTCATTTCATTTACATTTAAATTTAAATACATAAGTATGTATAAATCTATTTGAGCAGAATGCCAAATTCGCATATGTATATTATGATAATTAAACGCGAATATAAATTTTCGCAAAAATAAAAACCGGAATGCATCACTCTCAGTTTGTTATTAATTTATTTCTGCTTAGTTTCTAGCTGATTTTGCATACTGTTAGCAATAAGAAGATAAGATTATGTTATGCCTAACAAGTGGATATTTTGCTAGTAACACAAATGCTTTAAAGGTAGGCTAGTGTCATAATGATTCTAGACTCTGGACCAGTTTAGATAAATGCAGCGATTGAAATTATTTGAAAGTTAAAAGCAACTTATTTATAATCACCCGTTTTCAGTCTTCGGAGAGTCGTCGTTCGTGTCTGTTGTGGATGCTTTTTAATAGAAAGAATAATAATTAAAATGGTTAGCAAAACTTGCACAGAAGCTTATAACAAGTCTTTAAAAAGTTTAAATTAATAATTTAAAGATTTCATATATACAAGTAAATAAATATAGTGGCGATAAAACCAGCAAATAATTTAATAATAATATTATATAATTTTTTTTAAACTAAATCCATTATTAAATTTAATTATAGTTTCTATAAAATTTTACAAAATCCTAAAACTAGTCTCTTTTACTCGAGTTTCCCTACTTATTAATAATACCTACCATATTTCTATAGCAATTACCGAGTATTCTGCACATCCTGCTCCTTAGTGTGGTGACTCTTCTCCAACTGGACCTGGGGTATAGCCACCGCATCCTGGCCACCTTCTTTTTTCCCGCCAGAAGCCACTCCATGATTACCAATGCCATCATTCGGGAACTGGTGAAACGTGGTCATGAAGTCACCTTCATCACATCCATGTCCATGGCCAAGGAAAATTTGGGACCAAACTACAAGGAAATTCCGATTCCCCCGTACGAGATCTGGCCAGAAAGTAAGTGTTATTGTTATCTATATAAATAAAAAGCCTAAGATACTTGTATATACTAGTTCAAGAGCTGACCAAGAGGAACAGCGTGCTGGAGATGACCGATGTGGACAACCTGACCTTCCTTCGAATGGTCAACTTGTTGGGAGTCGCCACCACGGACTTTGCCTTTGAGCAGCCGGGCGTTAAGGAATTGATCCATGCCAAGGATAAGGTGGGGAAATACGATCTTCTGCTGGCAGAGCAGTTTTTCAACGAGGGAGCCCTCATCCTGGGACATCTTTACCAGATACCCATCATTACCATTGCGACCTTCGGCTTTGCCAATTACCTAAGTCAGCTGTTTGGAGTAGTCTCTCCCTGGTCATATGTTCCCCACGTCTACTTGCCATACACTGACAAGATGACTCTGTGGGAACGCATACATAATGTAGCCTTCAGTGGCTTTGAAGATCTTCTCAGAGAGTTCTCCTATTACCCCCGCCAAGATGCCATCCTTCAAAAGCACTTCTCCAAGAGCCTTGATAGAGTTCCCACCATAAAGGAGCTGGAGAGAAATATCTCCGCCGTTCTGCTAAATAGTCACGTGCCACTGTTCTCGCCCAGACCCCTTTCCTACAACATGATTCAATGTGCTGGACTGCACATTCTTCCCCCAAAGGCTCTGCCCGAGGAGATAAAGCAGTTCCTGGACGAAGCCACCCATGGAGCTATCTACTTCAGTCTGGGTAAGCTTAGTGATATTAATATTTTTTAAATTATTCCAACTTTAATCATTAGGTTCCCAAGTGCGCAGTGCCGAAATGCCGCCTGAAAAGCTTAAAATATTCTTGGACGTCTTCAGCAGCCTTCAGCAACGAGTTCTGTGGAAGTTTGAGAATGAGTCAGTCAAGCTTCCGCCGAATGTGAAAGTAAAGAGCTGGCTGCCTCAGGCTGATATCCTGGCCCACCCTAATGTGAAAGTATTCATCGGCCACGGAGGAGCTAATGGCGTCATAGAGGCGATTCATTATGGAGTTCCGATGCTCGGAATGGCGGTTTACAGTGATCAGTACCATCACGTCAATCAGGGCAAGAAGGCAGGCTACTTACTGGGTCTGGACTACCGGACAGTCACTGAGGAAGAGCTCAAGGGTCTGCTGCTAGAGTTGATCGAGAATCCCAAGTACAAAAACAACATGAAGCAGGCATCTAAAGTATTCCGTGATCGACCCCTAAACGCCATGGATACGGCAATGTACTGGATAAACTATGTGATAGAGCACCGGGGAGCTCCTCACATAGTCTCCGCTGGAGTACAGCTGCCTTGGTACCAGTTCTACCTCCTGGATATTGTGGGTCTAGCCTTGGTGCTCATCCTGCTGCCCCTTCTGCTACTAGCCCTTGTCTGCCGCAGGCGCAGCCCCGAGAAGAAACCAAAACAGGAGTAGAACCAAAACTTGTGTTTTATTAATTTAGTTAACAAAAGTGGAGATACAGTAATGTTAGATAAATATTTTGCAATAAATTTTGGATAATTTCGTAATACGTTTCTAGGGCACTAGATAGCTGGCAAAGTAATTGAGAACAAGGCTAACGAGTAGCGTGCAAAGACCGCTCGCAACTAACTGAACAGGATGCTGAAATGGTCGGGAGAATTAGCTTGGGATCTTCGCTGGGCCCTTCTCTGCCTTGGATCATCATTCGGAAGCTGGTTGGTGTCAGTGTATTGAGTGTGTGTGCCATGTGTGTGTGAGTTATATGAGTGTTTTGTGTCGAGTGTGCTTGAGTGTTTTTGTGTGTGCGGCGATCTCTACTGGCTTATGACCATGGACTTCTTTACCTTCTTCTCCTTCCTTTCATGGGTGATGGTCACTTCCTCTGCGAATGAAAAAAGAGAATGTCAATATCTTGGAAGGATTCCTCAAGGTTCCTCCTCAAAGTAAAACTCACCCTCGAACTTGGTAGGCAGCTGCTTGATCGTCTCAATGGTCTTGATGTTCTTCTCTCCCGGCTCAATGATCTCCTCCTCGTACTCCTCGATGATCTCCTCCTCGTCGGTTTCATCGGGATTATTGCTGGGCACGGGATCGTACACAGTCTTGGTGGCCTTCTTCACGATGCCGTCGGCGGTGACAGTGGTGTAGTGGTACTCGGTGCCGCCCTCAATCTTGATGGTCTCCACGGTGGTCACATCGCCGGGATTTTCGGAGGGCACAATCTTCTTGGTGCCGGACTCGGACTTGAGCTTCTTGGTGGTGGTCACATTCTTGTGCTTCTCGGCATCCTTTAAGGTCTTCTTGTAGGCACGAATCTCCTCCTCGGTGAGCTCAACCTCCTCCTCCTCGTAGACGGTCTTCGAGGTGGTAATCGTCTTGCCCGACTCCAGTTCCGTGGAGTAGGTGTACTCAACGCCACCGGGCACCCGCTTGGAGGCCACCGTAGTGGTGTCGTTCTGGAAGAAATCAGCTGGCGGCGGAGGAGCAGAGGACTTGGGCTTCTTCTTGGACTTCTTGCTGCCATCGGTGGCCGTGGTGGAAGTGGTATTAGTGATGGCCTTAGCCTCCTGCAGAGAGTTCTTGCGCACAGTGCGATTGTTCTCGGTGATTTCGATGTTCTGGGTCTGCGTCACCGACACACGACGCTCCGAGGTTGTCGTGGAGTTGGACTGCTGATCCACCACATTGCGCTGCTGCTTCTGGACAATGCGGCGCGAGGATTCGGTGGAATCGGTAGAGTCCACTGACGACTTGCGCGTCACCGTCTTCTTGTTCTTGTTCAGCTTGGCGGCGGTGTTCTCATCCACCTCCGTGGGCACCGAATCGTAGAAGGTCTTGGTGCGCATGCTGCGAGTTCCATCCTCATTGATGGTGGTGTACACCTCCTCGTAGCCACCCTCGATGGCGCGGGTCAGCATGGTGGTGCGCTCATCGATGCGTATCTCCTTGCCGAGACGCTTCTGGACAAGCTTCTTGTTCTGCTGCTCCTTCTTCAGATCCTCTTCGCTGACGGGCTTGGGGTCCCAGAAGGTTCTCACCTGAGTCTTCACTGTACCATTGGGCTGGGGTGTGGTGGTGATCACCTCGTAGCCGCCCTCGATCAGCTTGTACGTGGTGCTGGCTCCCGTCGCCTTGTCGAACTCGACCTTACCGTCCTCGATGTCCGCGGAGGTCAGTAGCTCTGCGGTGTGTGGATGTGTGTATAGTATATATTTGGTTTTTATGTATGTGTTTTAAGCAGATCCCAAGCTTTTGAGCGTGTGTGTGGGGTAGTTATTTTATAACAAAAGCACTTGGCGGTGGCCTAAGTCTAGTATTAGCTTCTTTTCTTTATCCTAAGCTAAGTCTACGATATTGCATGGATTTCCTATTTAAGGCAGCCTGGCGATGGGGTTAGTCAAGCGACTCTTAGACGTTTTGGGAGGGTCGTTCTTTAAGACTTAGACGTTCCTAGGGGGTCGTTTTTTAAGCCTTATTTCTCAAGCCAAAATTTTGTCTAACTAGTACTACATGTAAAACTTTGAATCTTGTATCTAATTTAATACATTTTAACGCTTTTAATGTTTATTTTTTTAATTTAAAATCCTAAAAATCAAGGACCTGGTTAACTGTTTAACCCCTTCGTCTTAGAGTCGCTTCATAAGCTTAATTACAGCATTCTCCGTTTCGTTGCATATGCGTTTTTTTGTACTCTCGCTTATTCCTTGTCAATCTCCGGGTTTTGTTACACGTGGACAGGTTGGGGCTCGCTCTCCAATTTGGGTTCCAGCTGTCGGTATAGGTATTTGGGACGCCATTTGGAGCCACACGCCAGGTGCGGCAGGCAGCTGTAGTGCATCAGCAGGTTCAGTAATTGCTATTTGAGCTTGCGGGCGGACTTCTGTTTGCCGTTCTTGGAGACGCTGCTGCCATTTCCGCTTCCGTTTCCAGCTGGCAGGGTGATGTGCTGCGGTTGCGGTTGTGGTTGAGGCTGAGGCTTCTCCTGTCGCAACTGTGAAGGCTGTTTGGAGGTAGTAGAGGTAGCAAGAGAAGCAGGAGCGGCGGAGGAAGCATTGGAAGATGCGGAAGCGTTAGCCGGCAGTTTGTTAGTTGCGGCTTTGGTGCGGGGCACAGGCACGGGACGTGTTCCATTCTCACTCTCCCTGGTCTTGGTCACCATTTCCCTCTCCTTGGGATGCAGCAGCTGGCCAGCGGCTTCGCTTAGCAATTGATTATAGCTTAGTGGGTTAGCAGGTTCACTATCGTTATCATTATCTGCAAATGTGGTTGGGGGTAACGAGATATTGGACAGTGGTTTTAATTCATCGCCTGGACAAACTCTACTCTGGTGACTGAGGAGATAGATGCCTGATAGATGCTTAGGGATGAAAGTGGTGGTGCTCTGATGATGATGCTTCCCAGGGGGCTGGCTGATTTCGATTTCAAAGATGGCTTAAAAGTAAACAACTGAAAAGGCGAACGACAAAACTTAATCGAACTTAAAGCTAAAATAAAAATGCACATTTTAAAAACAGAGTTTCGTAAATAGAAAATTTGTTTGTGTTTGTGTGGGTTTTTTGTTTGATTTTTTTTCTTTTTTAGTTCCTTGTTCTCGAATAAATATTACGACAATATTTTTGCAAAAAATTGATAAACTATAACATAAATGGTTTTATACGTATAAAGTTATAGAAAAAGAGTTTACAAAACAGGCAAGCAAACAAACATTTTTGCTGTCGATTCGAAGGGGGTGACACACACACTCACTCAAAACACACATACAACACTTTAGTTTTTTTTTATTTTATACAATTACTTTTTTATTCTTTAAATGATTTTGTTTTTCGCTTCGTTTTTTTTTTTCTAGAGTTATTTTATACACACTCTTTGTTTGGTTTTTATTCAGACGAAGGAAACATATGTACACTTGGGGGATAGAGGAGGGTTGTATGCTACAATGATTTCCGATTTACGATGCAGATGAGCTAAAAAGTCATCGCCATAAATCGGTAAACACACACGACACAGAGTCGAGCAAGGGAGAGAGGGCAAAAGTACAAAAATTTTCAATTAAAATACAATGAAGTGTAAAAGTTTGTGGCCGAAGCCAAGTGTGTGTGTGTGTGTGTAGAGGGGGGGACTACTGGCTGGCTGGCAACTGTGCCAAGTGTGTCGCACACTCGCACCCACACACACACACACCCATCAAGTATGTCGAGAGCAGTGCGAGTGCAAAAAAGTTTAATTTGAAAACTTAATTAAAATTTCTGTGCTTTTTTTTCTGCTGCTCCTCTCTTTTAACAAGATTTTGGGGCCATGTGTGTGGTGGAGGCTGAAGTGGCGGCAAATAAAAATTGCATTTATGACACTCGTGGGAATTTGGAACCTTATTTCAATTAGAGCAAGTACTTGACTTTGACAGCAGAGCCAGCCTCAGGTAAAGGATATGTTTTCAGGTGTCTGGTGTCTGTGTGTGCGTGTTTAGTGTGTGTGCTCTGTGTGCTGTGTTGTTTTACAAAAAAAAAGATGTCAACAAAACGACGAATAACGAACGATTTGCATGTGGTTTGTTCTGGTTTGCTTTGTTTTTTTTTTTTTAGTTTTTCTTTTTTGATTCTAAGAGCTACCAGTTTGTTCGGTGTCCTGCTCGCTCTTCTTGTCCAACGTCTGCGAGATCTTCTTCCAGATGTTCTCAAAGGAATCGGCACCGGAGTAGTCAATCTGTCCGGATTCCCAGCACTGGCGACGCATCTGGTTCTCGTAGGCCTCCTGCTCCGGCGTGCGCTGCTCACCAATGCGCAGCTGTGACAGGGCGCCAGCCAAACCCACCTGAAAAGCAGGACGAAAACCATGTTACTTCAATTTATTTCAAATAAAAAGCATAATAAATCAATAGAGATACATATGTGTGTGCGGGGGGAAGTACTTTTCATGCATTACAGTTACAGTTTTACAACATTTATTAGCACTAAATGATACGTAGACAACATTAAGATGTTAGTTGCTGTGCACGGTGCGTATGATTAATATGACAACAGAGTGCCACTCGAGGCATAAATCACGTATACGCTACGTTGCTGCTATGCAATGCACTCCGGCTGCTTACGTTGGCAACTCGTGTCCTTCGCGGCGACCTTCTGGCAGCTTAACTATGCAACAAGGAGTTGGAGAGAAGGAGGAGCAGGAGATGGGAGCATCATGCAACACAAACAAACACAAGGATGAAGTGCCTTTCCCTGCAGTTGAATCTGTTTCTGTATCTGAATCTGATGACCAGGACGAGGACCTTGATGCTGATGATGATGGGAATGCTTGACCAGGTGCCTGGCCAACTAATAATAAATCAACAAACGTGGCCACGTATCCAGGCCACACAAACACACACACAACGCTGAACCATGAACCACAAGCACAAGAAAGGAGCTGGACCAAAAGGACCATGAACAATGAAGGACGATGACCATGACGATGACGATGACGACAATGACAATTGGTATGCAAAACAGTGACTAGACGGAAAACCAGGGCATTACATTATCACTATCACTTGCACTAGCACTTGCACTGGCACACCACTATATCCGATGCTGGTTTTGGTTTTTGGGACGTTGGAAGTTGAAGGAGGTTACAGGTTGGGTTGGTTCTACACAGAAAAAATCATTAATATCCTGTAGGATAGACTTGGCATTAACAGATTGTTAGGGCTTTTGTATATTTCTTATTGTTTCAGAGTTTTAAAGTATCAAAAAATATTTAGAATAATTTAATTTACTCTCTTGAACTAAATAAATAATAAATTCTATGTTTTTTATATTCAAATTTAAAGAGAAACAATTTAAAACCACATCTTATAACTTTCAAGGCTATATTAAAACCCTTTTCAATCTGATAAATTAAAGCCAAGTTCTTTGATATATATAACCCATTTTTTCTGTGTAGCTCTCTGCTGGCCATGATTGATTGATTGCCTTTACCTCAGGCGGCGTTTCGGCTGCAACTTCATGATCTGGTTGGTGGTTTGTCGCATTTTCTACTGTCTGACTATGCACAGAATGATGTGGCGTGGGCGTGGGCGTGGCAGTGGAGACTGAGTCTGAGGCTGAGGAGTCGTGTTCTGGCAGATGGGCAATGTGCAGCTCATTGCTATTCACATCTGTGGATGCCGAGTCTTCGGCATTGGCAGTGGCATTGTAGGACTGAGGTGGAGGTGGGGGAGTAGGACTGGTGGGTGGCTGTGGCTGTGATGGGTGGGATGCATCGTCATGATGCCACTCAGTGGCATATTCATTAGCTGTTGCATTCCCATTGTCCTGGCTGTGATTGTGCTGTTGCTCCTGCTCCCTCTCCCGTTCCCGTTCCTGTAGCTGCTGGCGCTCTAGCTCCTCCTGCCGCTGCTCCTTCTCCAGATTCTCATAGTAATCTGCCCAAGGATCGCGGAACTGGCGCACATGCAACAGCTGGTGGTGCAGACGCTGCTGCTGGTAGTACTCAAGCTCGTGTTGCTGCTGCTGGCGTTGCTCATCCGCCGCGTATTCGCTTTGCGAGTGCATTAGGTTCAAGCATAGCCACTGACACGATGTTAGATATATAGATAGATATATATATATATATACAGGCACGATAAATGCAATTCGGCATGTGGCAGTAGTCATGGCAATATATATTTTTTGTTTAATATACAGAATGCGCAACATAGTAGGAGAGCAAGAGTTGGAGAATAAGAATGAAAATCAAAAGTAAATCAATTTGAAAACAAATCAAAAGAAACCAAAAACGTCACAAACAAAAAGATAAAAATAAAGGAAGAGGGAGAAGTACACCCAGAAAAGAGGACTATGATAACTACAATATAAATTTATAGACGATATAAATATTTAGAAGACTATAGTTTAAATCTTTCCCTATGTTTTATTTCTTAAAAGAGATTGCCTTTTCAAAATTAGTTCAAAATAATATAGATAACAGACCTTATGTACCTTCTTAGCTATTTTTTAAGGAAAGTATAGTGTTTATTTAAATATTTTATATTTATTTTCACAAAAACAAACAACTTTTAAGTCTATTCATTAACAAAGTCCCTAGCCTTACTGTAAAACAAATATATTTACTAAAACTTATACTTTAAAGTAAGATTTCTTTTCAACTTTTATTTAATTTCCTGCTACATTTTTTTCTGGGTGTACAAGAGATGCTAGTGTGTGTGCATGTGTGTGTGTGTGTTCGTTGGTGTTATGGGGATACAATATATCTAATGATTCAGTTGAACATTTTTCTGGCATCATCCCCCCTTTTAAAGCCCACAAAGCCGTCGAATCATCTCCATTCTATGGGATGGCATGAACCGAAACATTTTACTGGCTCTGGGCCAAAAATTGATGCAAATTAGAAAAACAGAAAGAAAGTGAAACACCAACACTGAGACAAAACGAAACGTAACACACACAGCACACTCACACACACATAGCACACACAGTTGGACAAATATTACAAAAAAATACAAAAGAAAAATAAATTAAAAAAAGAGACCCAATTATCCGTCTGTCCGTCTAAAAGAGGTTACTCTGGGGCGTGGCTGCTAATCGGGGAAAAATCAACAGAAAATTGCAAAGCGAAACAAAAAATAAATAAAAATTTTAAAAGAAATAAAAAAACGAAATAAGAAACTAGGAGAATAATGAAGAATAGACATTTAGAGTGAAGTGAAACGATAACGAGGTCAGCTATTGGCAAGAAATAGCAAACAGATTGAATCTGCGTTTGGTTTTCGCTTGCCATATTATTTACTCGGTTGGATAGATGGATAAATAAATAAATATTTGCGTTATAATTAAGATATTTACAGGGGGTGCTCAGGGGTGTCTACAGATCTGGTGCTAGATGGGTTTTTGGGCGATCTGCAAAGATCTGCTTACCTCGGGAGAAGACCCGCGGGCTATCGCCTCCTCGGGATCGCTAGTTACTGTTACTGTTCCTGGCTTTAGCTGGGGGCGTTTATCGTTTAGCATTTAGCAATTGAAGGGTTAAGAAACGTAGGCAAAGGTAGCAAAAAACAAGGGGTTAAACAATAGAGTTCTCGGGTAAGCAAAGGGGGAAAACAGGTCTTGGGGCAGCAAGTCCGATAAAGATAAAAGATCCTGCATTTAGATATACTCAACAGTTCACTCACCATATCGGTGGACAGGGACTGGATCACATTATCACAGAAGATGTTCCACCACAGCTGGATCAGATCCTGGGCATGGGCATATTCCGAGGAGACGCTGGCGGTCTTAGTCTCCGAGTTGAACTGAATCAGCCAAGGTTTCAGTTTGCCGGCGAAATGCAAAATCTTTATCTTATCTCTGTACCTGTAAATTGATATAATGGATTATATACTATCCAGAGATAGGGAGTGGTTAAGATATACTCACTGTTTGAAGGCGGGCAGATAGCAGTAGGAGGCATAGGCCGTAACATTGTAAACGAATGGCAAATGCTTCTTGATGTCCGCCGTCGCCCAGTCGGCAAAGTACTGATTCAGCAGACCCTGGTCACCGCCATCGAAGCTGCCATTCTTAACGGCAAACTCTGTGATCTGGCCAAAGGTCTCCACGCTGGGCTTGAACACAAACACGCCAGAGTTGAAGCAATCCGGCCAGCTGACATCCGGGGCAGCCGACAGTTCCTCGCGCTCAAACAGCTCATCGCAGTTTTGCAAAACCTTAAAGAGGATATTGAATTATATTTCATCTGTATCCCCCTCCAAATCTCTTTAAATATAACTTACCAGTGTATCCGCATCCAGGAAGACGCACTTCTCAAACTGCACCAGACGCCAGCAGTGCAACTTTGTGAAGGTCACGCCCAGTTCGGGGCGGGCCAGGAGAGCCAGATTGGCAGCATCCTGTGAGTCCAAAACATTCACCTCCTGGACCACATTATAGACCTCCTTAAGGCGGTCGCGCATCGCCAGCGAGACGGTGGGCGTGACCAGAACTGCCAGCTGGTGGGCAGTGTTGGCCCTCTTCAGTGAGTGGGCCAGGACCAAGGCACCCAGCGAGTACGTGTCATTTGTCGTCAGCGTCACCCAAGCGAACTCTAATTTACGGAAATAGAAGTGCAAATCAAGGGTTAAATTGCATATCCAAATAATCTGTGCAGATACAATGGCAGTGGCTACAGCAGCTGTAGATACATTTTATTGGTTACATTCGCATTGCACGTTTCACTGCAACAGCAGCAGCAGCTGGCAAAGAGAATTCGTTTTGGTATTTATTAGTTTCGGATTCAGCAAAAAAAATAGATGGATTATAAATAAACAAGCGCCGGTTTGGGTGGCCGAAGCTGGGAATAGAATGCGGTGCACTCAGAGAAATAATCAATAAACTGATAAATCCATCTATCAAAAGAGATTTATTTTAATTAAGAAAAGTCTTATATTATTTGCAGTTTATCTCTGTGTTTTTTTGATTATTATTTATAAAAGATATTTTGAGAAATCTTATCTTATAAATAGAAAATTTAAATTAGATTGTCATTTTTAAAAAGAATCTTTGAATTTTGAATTTTTTTTTTCTTTGAATATAACAAACTAATTCTTTCTAGTTTATAGATTCTTTAAAAAAAATTTGTAGAAATTGCTGTGTCTTTAAATATATTATTAAATGTATCTAAAAGAATACAATTTTTAATACCAAAATTCAAGATATAAGATAATTTTAAAAAATTTTAAAATACTTTTTGAGAGTTTTCCAAATAATTTCAAATCTTAAATCATTTCTTTGGCTTCCTTATATATTTTTAAGAAATATAGACATATTTCCGACTTTAAAAACTAACTAAATTTGGCACATTTATATTTATATGGCATTGCTTTGTTTCAGGAAACAAGATAAATAATTTGAAAACCCAATTCTTATTTAAATTTCCCTCAATTATTATTCTCTGTGTGACACACATGTTCAAGTGCGGTCTGTGCAGATCTCCAACTGCGTCAGCACCCACATGCATTCCAATTTCATTTGCTTTGTTAGAGCGCAAAAAAAAATTGAGAATATTGCAAAAATAGCGGAAAAAAATCATACAAGATTGGCAAAAATCGAGCAGAGCAGAGCAGAGTCGAGCATATTTCAGGCGCGTCCGAACGGGCAATTAGAATTTTGCGTAGTTGGCATTTAGTTTTGGGGCGAAAGCTATGTAGATAATTAATTATTCATGGCGTTAGCTTATCCTATATACAGTTATATGGGGCGATTATGAGCACTTCAGATTTCTCACTCGATGGAAAATTAGTTTGAAAATATACATAATTTATAAACTGAAACAGATTTTATACAATTGGAATCTGGTAACTGGTGTCTCTCTGGTTCCCCTGCTTCTTAGTATTAAATTCATTAAAATTAATGGATTAATATCCATGCAGTATTGTTGATGTTGTTGAAAATTAAAAGATCATTAGAGTTAAGATAGAGTCAACATACAATTATTTTATTTCCAATTTTGATTATTCACAGGTCAATTGAATTTTGAACAATATTATTATTAATTATTATTATTATGGGTATTAATGCTACGATTTTCGAAGAAAATAGTTGGATAATATATACAGGTTCGTGTATATGTGTATATATTCTTTGTACAATGTTTTTTTTTTGTTTTTTCGTAGAGCTAACTTTAGTTTAGATTAGAGATTAGAGTAGATTAGATTATAGTGTCGGTTTTACATGGTGTTTGGGGGGGGGTTTTAGAGAAGCAAACTGAAAAGGAACTGTGAAAGCGCAGGATACAACAAGTAGATGGATAACAACAACTACCTTCTCGCTGATGCGGATACAGATACAGGATGTGTGGATGCGGATACGGATATCCTTGGGATATCTGCGACACAGTGAGCTAACCAGCGGCATTCGAATGCATTCGCCATAGCCTTAGCTGAGCTTGATCTGAAGCTGATCTTGGCCTGATCTTGCTTTGGTCTGAGTTTCGGTATGATATCAATATCTTTATCCTCCGCCGGATATGTACAAGTGTGGTGTGGTGTGTGTGTCTGGGTGTAGTGTTCAGTGTGTTGTGTGTGGTTTTTGTGTTCTTAGTGCGAGTGAAAGATACATCGCAGATGCTTTCTTTTCTACTCTGTTTGTGTGTGCGTGTGAAATGAATCGCTGGGCCTAAAATAAAAATGAAATCATTTACTTTCGGCCAAAAAAGAATGGATTTTATTAACTTTCTGACTTACCGGATGTGTGCAAAAAAATGACAACAAAAATAATTCACAGAACAATCAAAAAAACTTAAATGTGGCGGAAAAACCAATAAAGAAACTGAATTTTAGCAGACGTCATAAATAAATTTGGTGATTTAAACAAAATAAAATAAACAACACTCGGTCTAAATATAAAATCTCGCAACAACTGTTGAAATTGTCAAAAACGACTGCGTTGCGACGCGACAGTTTCCTTAAAAATATACCTATATATATATAAGTAAACTTAGGAATAAGTAAATGAGCAATTTATGTGACAGCTGATTGTGGGAAAATCCCCCTCAGAAGTATTACCTCTTTTTTGTCAGTGTTCAAAGACAGGAGAGCTCTTTTAAAAAAGAATAAATCAGACAATGTTAAATGTTAAATATAGTGCTTTTCGTCAGTACATTAAAAAAAATACGTTTTTGAAGCGGAGATAAGAAAAATATAACAATTATAATAATCATTTATATGTCTAAAAAAAAATGTGTTAACTATTGGAAATTTACAAAATATTCCGCTAAAAATTTTTCAATTAAAAAGCGTTTTGTTTAACAATAAATAAGTATTCTAAAAATAAGTTAAATTTCATTAAATCATTCAGGAAATATATTTTTCCAGTGTCTTAAGAGAGCAAGGAACCATAAGCTTCTCTCTGAAGTAAAGCTTTCTTTCATACTCGACCTCTCACTCTCTGTGAAACCTCTCTTTTTCGGAGAGAGTTTGCGCCTTGGCTTTCACCCTATCCGCGTACATGCTTAGCACAATAAAGCTGATAAAGCGCCCGGCCAAAGGCGAATGCGCAAAAAAGGTCGTGGGTTAAGCTTTCGGGGTCTGGGTCAAGTGACTGAGTAAATACCGCAATGAGCCCCGGATCAGATTATTGGGCCCAGACACCGCACCCTGAATGGGGTCACCAATTAGATGAATGGACAACAGCCGAGACCTTGAGGGAGATGCCTCGTACCGCGCCCATATCATCCCGGAAACCCGTTTATTATGGTCTCCGATTAAATGAAGCAGAGCGCCAATTTGCAGCCGGCGCATAAAGCAGAAGGTACAGTTGAACTTGCCTAAATAGAACTACTCAACACTTGAAAAATAAAATATTACAAAGGTTTAAAGAGTTATTTAATCTAAATGATAAAAATAATATCTAAATGATTTAAAATGGATTTTTGAAATTTTAATTGTTATATCAATGTTGTAAGTTATCGAAGTTGCACTGCACTTATCATGCATAATGCATATGCGGGGAGGAAATCGGGGAATTGCTTCGTGGCGACACCAACGCACAAATTGGCGAGTGCAAGGCGAGCGGAACAAGTTCTGCGGGAAATCTCTTTCCCTACCGCCTGCCAGTGTGTATCTTGTGGATTCTTGACTCGCGACTCGCGACTCTCGACTCTTGTATCCGAAAGAGCAGTCCCCTAAAAATAGCACCGCCAATGTGAAGTGAAATAAAATGAGATTGTTTTTGCTGCTGGTAGGCGATGCGATGCATTGGCTTTGGGTACAGGCACCACCGCAGCAATTTTAGAAATTGAATCACCACGGATGACAGCCATGGAGCTGGGAGCTGGGATATGAGAGAGAGTGCCCAGAAAATACTGGAAATCCCTGCGGGCTGAGAAAAATTCAAGGCAGCTGTTGCCTTGGGCTGATGATTAATGCGGGCATAAATCCGTGCAGATTTAATGGGTTTTCTAGCCAGGGACACAAAGAGAAAATGAGATCTCCCACACAGTAAAAATTTGGAAATATATATTTAAGAACGATGAGCTATCTTTCATTTCTAGAAGCAATTATATTTCATTATTTTGTTTTTTTGCCTTTAATTTAATTTGAATAAGTTATTGCATTGAAAGTAAGGCCTTGGTCATTGAAGTGCGTCAGCAAATGGTTTTTAATGATAAGGTGAATGCAGTTTTCTTAAAAAAAGTGTGTAATAACACATGATTTTTTATAATTTAATGTTTCTATAAGGCACATGACTAATTATTTAAATTGAAGTCGCATTAAGTTATAAGGATTTCATAGAAAAAGTAATCTTAAATAGTTTTCGAATCAAGATATATGATAAAGTCTTATAAGGCTTTGAAGAACAATATTAAATATAAAAAATTATGAAATAAGGTAGCTGACCCATAGATTTTTATTAATACAAGATTGTAAAATCTAACTAAATTCATTTTAATGCCTAAAAAATAACTAATTTTATGAATAACCTTGCTTTCAGATACAAATTATGACTAATAGGATACTAAGCATTATTCTTGTCAAACCGAAATTTAAAACTAAATAATATTAATAAAATGATAGTTATCATTAATATCGATCTTTTTAGCTAGATTTTAAATCAATTTTAAGTAAGAAATCAAATGCTTATAATCCAAAAACCTATAAATATTAAAAATCCCTTAATAATATTAATAATGTGGTATTAAACATTATTTTTTGTTATATCTGGCTACTTAAGAATGTTAATTGTATTTCATTTGAAAACATTTTTAGTGGGCGACAACGACGGCGACACAAGGAATGTTCTCGGGCGTGGAAAACTTTTTCGAAAAGTGGTATTTTCGAACAGACAAACGTTGTTAGCGCCTGTCGCCGGCCATAATTCCACCCGGCGCATACATATAGACGGATGTTATAAATAGAAATACATCTATAAATTATTATATGGCTGCCTGGCTGGCAAATGGGACGTATAGTATTCAGGGGCTGCTTCAAACATGATCGGATCGACGTCAGGACGTCAGCAAACGCGTGTGAAAATGCCAAGGCGAAGTGCATCCCACTAATCTAAATCTGAATGGGATGCAGATACGGAAATCGCACTGATAAGGGCTTCAATGCTTATGTATAAATTGATAAGGCTAATGGCGCTAAGGTTTGATTACTACTAGGTCACCGAAAGAAAGCGCTAAATCAATATAATAAAATCACGCGAATGTCACAACAAAGCGCAGCGCCAACATAACGGTGAGGAGAGAGAGAGAGAGCTCTCTCCTAGTGCTCCCTTTTAAATTCTCTCTTTGAAGGTTATGTGTGTGAGCTTCTGCTGCTTTGCTCGTTATCAGTATTTTTCTGTCGTGCACATACTTTTCATAAACAAACAAATATGCCAATGCAATGCATGGACTCGTGCTGAAAATGTATTTCGAACTACATTTAAATGGTGCTAGGCATGGGCAGGGGGAGGGTCGGTGGGCTGTACGCGGAGAGCAGGCGCTGGTGAAGGTCAGTAAAGGTCGTCTTCGTCGTCGCTAAAACACTCGCGCTCTATGCTCGATTTTATAAATACAGTATATAGAATAGTAGGACTAGTGCTTATCGCTATGATTTTGATTGGGAATCGCAGACGAGGAGGAACTCCTTCCCAAAGCGAGTGTTATGAAATGTGAGAGGGGCAGGGGTGGTTTTTTTTGGGAGGATTATTAGAGCTTTTAACTTGGGGCAGGCTCTTTTTTTTCGGTTGCAGCCTGCAGCCTTTAGCCATGCATACGCACACACACACACGCTCGAACGCACGCACACACACTCTTTTCTGCGTTTGCTTTGCGCTTTTCTTTTATCATTTCTTTTTTTTTTTATTGCGAATTGCAGTTGCAGTGCTCCTCCCAACTTACTGCTCATTTTGTTAGGGGTTTTCTTGGGGTCTTTTCTTGGATAATTTTTCGATTTAAGCACTCGCGTGGGTGGTGGGCGTGCCCGCTGAGCTTTTCACACTGGATTCGAGTACGAGAACACAGGAACGAGGCGTTTGCGATGCGCCAGACACGAGCGATGACGAGAATCTGAGGCGGCTGGTCGCTAGCCGTGGGCATAAATGCCTAAATGCCACCGCTGAGCCACCGGCAGCGCAGTCGCCGTCACAGCTCCCACCACTTCTGGTTTAGGTGTATGCGAGCGTGCGTGTGTGTATACATCATGTTTGTGAGTAGGAAGGCGCCAAAGGAATTGTATTTTGCATTCCGCTTGCTTGGATTTCATTTTTTCTGCTTCTTCGCTAGCCGGCTATTGCTGGACCGGCTATAAACGTTACGCGCGAGAGGGAGAGGCAGCGTGAGAGAAAGAGACAGAAAAAAAGAGAGAGCACCGGTATGAAAGGTGCGAAAGTCAATGCAAAAGTGGAGGAAGATTGACGTTTGTGAGAGTAATTTGCTCAGAAGAGAATATAGGAAGAGAGCAACAGGGTTGTCATTCAGAATTTGCACAACTATTAATATTTTACAAGTTAAACTTGTTTCTTGAAATTTGTTTAAAAAAAAGGAACAGTTTAAGCACTTCATTAATTATACTGTCCAATTGGTGAATAAAATAAATATTTAAAACTATTTTATAAATTCACACATAAAATAATGACCGGAAATGAAAAAATACTGCCTACTTTTGAGAGTCGAATGCATTTGCAGTTGTTCTTGCTTAATGTAGCATGCTTTTAGGCATTTCTTATGACACTTATGTAGATCAAATGTTTTATTATACCCTTGCAGGGTATTATAATTTCAGTCAGAAGTTTGCAACGCAGTGAAGGAGACGTTTCCGACCCTATAAAGTATATATATTCTTGATCAGCATCAACAGCCGAGTCGATCTAGCCATGTCCGTCTGTCCGTCTGTCCATCTGTCCGTCTGTCCGTCTGTCCGTCTGTCCGTCTGTCCGTCTGTCTGTTTCTACGCAAACTAGTCCCTCAGTTTTAACGCTATCTGAATGAAACTTTGCATATAGTCTTCTATATGCTCTCACTGCTATATATGTCGGAACGGGCCGGATCGGACGACTATATCATATAGCTGCCATACAAATGTTCGATATATTTGTAGAAAAAAATTATAACTTTGTTGTTTTTCAACATTTTTGCACCATTTTTTAGATATGGCCATTTTTTATTATTTCAGAATTTTGGTAAAAATTTTATGAAAATCGGTCGACTATATGATATAGCTGCCATAGGAACGGTCGAGAAATAAATAGATAAAAAATTATAGTTTCGTTGTTTTTCAACGTATGTTTATCTACTCTGAGATATAAGCTTTTTTTATTATTCTAGAATTATGGTATAAATTTTATAAAAATCGGACAACTATATCATATAGCTGCCATATAAACCGATCGGTAGATGTAGAGAAAATGTAAAACTGGGAATGTAAAACTGTAACTTTCAAACTGTAAACATAATAAGTATAGGTAAAATGTAATGAAACTCTGTTTGGTGAGTGTTTTCAGAATTTAAATCTATAATATAAACATCGAAACCAATCTGCAAGGGTATACAAACTTCGGCGTGCCGAAGTTAGCTTCCTTTCTTGTTTAATTTAAAACAAGTTCTGTGTTAGTTTTTATCAGTTAAAAAATTTATTAAAATTTTTTTATAATTAAAATTTTTCTTAAACCCTAACCTAAGCCTTTTCAAAATTGTTTGAATATTTTAAAACAAATGTTTCTGTGTCAGCTTAGCAAGTAAAATATATTTGTTATGTTTATTAGCCCATTTGTTGCTCTTTTCACTTAATACCTGTGAAATTTAAGTGCTATAAACTCTGAAAAGTAATCTATTTCCAACACTTTTTATAAAGGCGCCAATTTAAACATTGATAAAAATAGGAACCTTTGATTTTAATTTATATTTCGTATTTACTTCAGTAAAAAAACACATTATCCCTTTAAAAACTTCAGTTTTTATTGTCATTCGTTATAAATTAACGTGATTGTTGCAGACTTACGAGTTCTATGTTACTTATTTACATAAAAAAGTACCTAAGCGGTGGTGGCATTTGAGCAAGACATTGCATCTTTCGATTTGTTAGTTAGTTTGTGGTGCTTTTTGGTAAAATATTCATGGCAATTCTCTAGGCAGACGGTTGTACTAAGGCATTAAATAGTGTATAATAAATAGCTGGCCACTAAAACTAACTAAACTTAGGTAACTAAGATAACTACAATGCTATGCGTGGGCAGTATCACAGTGCAGAGGCTCATCCTCTGGCTTTCGATTGTTAATGGCATTTCTGGGCGAGATCACAAACGGCTTGCGTTGTTGGGCATTTCTGAGGCGTCTCTGGGCACGTTTCCGGCGACATCTTATCACGCAAAAGAGCAGAACTGCAATAAATAAACCATATTTTTGATTAAAAATAAACCAGATCATTAAAAATTATATATTATATATAAATAATAAAAATATTTAATCACCTAAGAGCACAACGAAAACACCGCCAAAGCAGCCGGCGGCGAAGAGCCAGAAACTTCGCGTTTCGGCCAACTCGACGCTTGTCTGGCAACTGGCGAACGTCGCCGAGTGGATCGTCCGATTGTAGGGCAGTGGACATTCACGGATGTCGAGCGGCTCTGAAAATGGAATTGCAAGTTGGTCATATGCCAAAATTAGCAGCTGCTGCATCCCTCTTCCATGTCTCTTCCAACCATCCAAAAAAAACTTACCCATACAAACGGGCACGTACTGCGGGCTGGCGCCGAGCATGGTGAGATGTTGTGTGACCTGCTGGCATCCGCACTGACTGAGCTGTGTCTTGGTCAAATCGATGGTCCGGAGGTGGCACAGGTTGGCCAGGCTATCGATCTTGAAGTCCTGCAAGGGGTTCATTGAGGCATTTAGTTGCCAGAGTTCTGTGGGTAAAAAAATATGTATTAAGACCTCTCAATTAGTGATATTTTCAAAGTTCTGCTTACTTGGCATTATGCCCAAATCGGGCAACTCCTTGAGCTCACATTTGGCTATATTGAGGTACTCCAGTGGCGCCCTAATGGGTTTCTCTAGGGCATTCAGATCCAGGGACTTCAGCTCGTTGCTGTCAATATAGAGATTTCTCAGTCTTGGCAGCTGGAAGAGCTCTAGGGGTATGGTAGTCAGTCCATTATTCGACAGATCTATTTCCTGCAAGGGCCGGCAATTAAGATTATTTAAGATTAAAATAATTAAGAGTCATAGTGGCTGATTAATTAGATGTCGTGTTGTTACCTGGAGCGAGGTGAGCGGCTCAAAAGTTCCCGGTTCCACCGATAAAATCATGTTCTCATAGAGCATCAGAAACTTGATGTCTGTGTACTTTTGAAACGAGTCACTTTTCAGCTTCTTGATGCGATTGTAGGATAGATCCAGAACCTACAGAAATTGACAGTGAATTGCAAGATTATTAAGTGATAGAGTTGTGAATGAAGCTACAGAGCATCTCAAATTTATCATAGGAAATATCACACGGAAATTGCATGCTTTTATATTGACTAGGCAGTATTTTTTGTGCCTGCTTGCAATTTCTGTGGGAATGCCCATATATATAGTATATATATAGCTGAATTTATAGTCTCTAAGCAACTTCTTTATTCTTTAATTAAAGCCAATTAAGGCCAACTATGGCAGGGGATACTGTAGGCTAAGTCCGACGCTGAATTAAGTTACAGATCACCAGCTATGGCTGACCCTACCGATCATTACTCACCTCCACCGAGGTCTTGAGATTCTGGGGCACCTCCTTGAGGTCCAGATTATAGCATCGTATTCGCAGCAGCCTCTCAATCCTTGCATACTTGCACTTGCGCTCTTCTGGCGGGAGAAAGGCATCAGCTAGCAGGATCTGTAGGCACACGATGATAGCCGGCAGCTGCCAATGCAGTTCCATGCTCTGTTGGAAATAAAATACAAGGATATATTGTACATATAATAAGAGATTTGTAGGGGAATTTCGGCGCCAACTTGTTTATTTTCTCGACTGCAACTAGAATAATAAACTAGGGAATATAATAGTGGGGGCATGGGGCGCGTCAAAGCGTTTATTTTCGAATTAGCGATTTACAAGATCAATGCCGATCATAGCTGGGGGTCTGGGTCTGGTTGTTGTAGGGGTTCCAAAAACTGAAAGCATCCAATCAAGCGAATCTCCCGCACCTTGCAAAACCGAATTAGAGGCGATTTCATTCAAGCCATGGCTGCGTATGAGTGATGCTCATGGCTCACATTACGTATACGTAATGTACAATCAGTGTCAAATGCAACAAAAGATGATTCCGCATACCGGCGGCGGAAATAGTTGCAAATGGTAATAATGGTAATAATAGAGACTAGCCCTGGAAATAACTGAGTCACTGGGAAACCGCTAGGTAGATAGATTCATCCATTTTTGGGTGTGCAAAGTCTGTTTTCTTGTATCTTATCGTGGTGTTTATATATATGTAGAATATGTACGCCTTTTAATTCAACATCAAACAGCCAGAGAAGGGTAGCAATAAATCAAGGGAAATACATTCCATTAGAATGCTTTTATGGCTCTTTTCAATGTGTCAGAATCGCCGCAATTTGCCAAAAAGAAAAATAGGGGAAAAAGTCGAAAAACAATAATCGATTATGGGCCAGAAATAGCCCTGCCATAAAGTGATTTATACAGGAATATAGTAAGTATATATATCTTGACATGATCTTGGTCCGAAAAGGCACATTTGGTAACATTCTAAAATTGAAATGAAAATGGAAATGGCCAGAAACCCATTGTTAATATCTCTGTCACGCCCCATTGAAGGGCAATTAGAAAATTGCACGTTTCCAGCAACATTTTTCGCTGCCTTTGCGTGATATATATTTTTTTTTGTTGTAGTTTTTGTTAGCTTTGTGAAAATTGAAACCCAACCTCATGAGCAATTTCTTGAGTATTGTGATTTTTTTTTTTTTTTTTGCATTTGTGACATTCGGGTTAATTGCTGTCGCAGCTGAAAGCATTGTTTCGGGAAATCAAGTGTCACCAGTCAGCAAACGGTCTCTCAGTGTTTACCCAAACCTTAAACGGCTGCCAGAAGGAATGATGAACGACGGTATCCATTCATATTGGCAAATCGGTTAGAGCCCGTCCAAGTGGCGGAATTAAGACGCATTGAGCCCACCGATAAGATCTCTTTCTTGGCCAATTTACAAAGGCAACGCAACGGGGGAAGGTAATCAATTATAAAGTTAGTAACAATACCTTGGGTCATTTTAGCTCTCTGCAAACAATGATTCATGATCTGATTTTAGCTGCTTTTTCATTTATTAATTTTTTGTTTGTGGGGTATTTTCCCCTAAAGTGTCTTGGCCTTTGACCAAAAACTGTTGCGCTCCACTTGAAAAGCATATGCTGAGCTAATACCTAGGAGCATGCTTTCGCCACCCAGTGTTTTCCACCTTCGACAGTCGTACGAATCAGCAAAAAAAACAAGAACAACACAAGCAAAAGGCAGAAAATATATCAAACAAAAAAATATTGAAGCTATTTCCACACTCTTTTTGGGTCTGACAGCGACCGCAACAATGGCTATAAATATATTTTCATATATTTAAATTAAAATTAAGCAGAAAGCGTAGCCATCATACCTTATGGAATTTCGTTGTCTTCCGCTCAAGGGGGCTCAAAATTCAACGAAAAATTGGCCATAAAAAGGGCTAATGCCGATATAACAGAAATATAAAAGAGATCTCTTCTCCCCTCTTCAGAATGGAAAAATCAGCATTAGCTTTAGAGGTGGTGGCATCGCCTGGGTATGGGTCAGAATTTATGCTTTCCACTTTGGCCGCATTTGTTCCAATATTTATTTATATATTAGGCTCAATCAAGCGGCTGTTGCCGCAGACAAACAATGGAACATGCATGCGGAATGGGGTGGCAGAAATGGGTTACGGATTGGAATGGTCGCCTACTCGCCTACCTCCCACCTCGCCGGGATTCGAAAGATCCATGAGATCCATACGGAGCCGCCTGCCTGCCTGCCTGCCCCGATATGATAAATATGACGACGAGGGATTATTTATCTGCTCGCGGGGGCAAGCGATTATGGGGATAACCAAACGCAACAAGAATATCGACAAAGCCGCCCGTAAAAAATGGACAAGAAGAAAAAAAAATCTCGAAATTAGTATCAAATATTTTAATAACATTCTAAACATTTATGAATGGATTTATGTGCTCTTGTGATAGTTCCTGTCACACATTGTGGGCGTCGGCACACTCGTATATATGCATATTATCGGCTAGGGTATATCTTTCGGCGAGGGCGACACCCCCTGCACTACCTCCCCCACCTCAACAGGTGTGTGATCCATGGGCCTCCAAGATTTATTCACATTTCTCTCGAGCACGTTTAAGATTTATCTGTTTTGACTTTTCTGTGATGATGAAACATGGCCTGTGACAACTTTTACTATCACTTCTGTGTTGTCAAAAGATCTTGGTTACCCTTTTTTTTTTTTGATTAATCAAAACTCCCCTTGAGTAATAAGACCCCATATATTTTGTTATCAGTACACGTCAAGTGTTACTCTCTTATCAGCTTCGTTCTAATTTCCGCTGTAAAGTTCTTTTCAAACTATTTCATAAAGAAAAAAATTAAATTGAAACGGCACTAACAGTCACGAAAAGTAAGGCAGAAAAAAACATTGTTCATTTATTTCAATTAAACACAATCAAGAAAGCATTCAGTTCCCCCGAGAGAGGGAATGATTCAAGGGGAAAAAAACAAAAGAATTCAAACCAATCGAATCGGTGGAGCCCTAAGCTACAGTTACTGAATTGTGAGTAACTGCCATTTAATATCGGAGGAATGGCCGGGATAAATATACTTTATTTTGTTTAAAACTTGGAATAACTCTTGGATAAGTAAGGGAAACTTCTTTGTGAGTTTTTCCCTCTTTCTTGTTCTGCCACAATCTCTATAAAGATTAGTCTTTCTCTTGATAAGCAGGTGTTCTGTATAAAAGTTAATTACTGTATAAACACAGTCACTCTTTTTACTTGGAATTTTCGTATATATATAAACAGTACAGGGAGTACTAGGTACTGCCTTCGTTTAAAACTCTTATTCCCTCTACAAGATATGCCTGCCTGTTGTATATACATAAAGCCTCCAATTGTGGTTAATTGAAATCAATTTAAGTTTGGACTCTATCGCATTATGCTGTAGGGGTGTGTAGAGTGATCTTTTGGATCCCGACACTTACAGAGACTGGGGCATATTTCAATGCTAAGTTTTCTGATTAGAAAATTTAATACAGCCAACCAGCTGTTGTGCAATCTACTTAGAACGTACTCGTACTATTATGTGGGGAGGTTCCATTGATGATAACCCGCCAGACCCCGAAAAGCAACTACTCATAGGGTGAAGAAAGAGAGAAAACAGGGAAACTAGAGAGGGAATTTAGAGTAAAAACAGACTTACCGCTTAGGTATTCCCAAAGGTCTTCAGGTATAATCCCATTTATAGTTTGAGTGGATAATCCTTGAGCAAGGACAGGATCATTATAGCACTAGACAGATTTCACTTCACTGAAGACTTTATTTAGATTTATATATTTTTGGAAATATTTTGTTATTATAAAACGTATATTTTCTATACTTATATTTTTTAGAAACACTTTAATTTAAATTTTAGGAGTAATTTCCTTTCTTTTAAATATATATATTTTTTTAATTTCTCAAGTGATCTTGAAGCCAAAATAATATATTATTTTTGTAATCACTCCCAAGTAATAGTTATTTACGCCGGATAAGATATAGCAAGCGTTACGGAGCGTGCACGTTAGCCGGAACCGTTCAATTCAACCGCAGACATGGAATTGAAACGAACGCCGAGATCGGTTCAGTGTTATTTTTTTTTTTTGTGCCTTTCGGACTCAGACGATCGCCGCCGAGCACTGCTCGCCCCGAAAAACTCTGATAAAGCACACACACACTACAGATGGGTCTACTGCAGCGGGAAAACTCTGTGGAAATTCGGGAGAGTCCACAGAAGAGACCTCTCTCCCACTCTCTCACTCTCTCTCTGCGGTCTCGTTGCTTCGTGATAAGCGCAATGGAAACTGATATATCTGGAAATTGAGTTGTTTGCGGGATTTTTGGACAGCTCGAGTGTGGATATTTGTGATTTAGCTGGCCACTCATCCAATTAGCAAACAAACGATAATCGAAATCGATCTCCTAATAAAATCACCACGAAGAACAAGTGTAAATGCGTCTGGAGGAATGCGTTGTGTCAAGCCAGCCAAAGTGATGAATGATACGTTGATACCGAGAAAAGATACTTTAACCCAGGCAATAAATGTGGGCCGAGACATCTTAATTCCCAGTTTCTTATCAGTAGCACCTACCCCTGGACAAGCCAAGATCTCTCATGTCTGGGCAGACTTCCACAGGCGTCTTGTTCTTGACCAATCATAAACCCATAAATCCCCCGAGTGACGAGACCGCTAATTGCTGGCACAGGGTGGAACTTCAGGTAGAAGTACAGGTAGGAATATTAATAATATATATACTGAATCGACATTAAATTCTGTTAAAGATGTTGGATCACCAGGAAGGGGAAAGACTTATTTAATTAATTGTTTCTAGTTGATATCAATAAAATCGATATTTTTCGATATTTAAAACGTTGATGTATCGAATTTTACGATGTTTTTGATATGATATTGAGTAGAACTTGTTTCACTTTTTATACCCTTGCAGGGTATTATAATTTCAGTCAGAAGTTTGCAACGCAGTGAAGGAGACGTTTCCGACCCTATAAAGTATATATATTCTTGATCAGCATCAACAGCCGAGTCGATCTAGCCATGTCCGTCTGTCCGTCTGTCCGTCCGTCTGTCCGTCTGTCCGTCTGTCCGTCTGTCCGTCCGTCTGTCCGTTTCTACGCAAACTAGTCCCTCAGTTTTAAAGCTATCTGAATGAAACTTTGCATATAGTCTTCTATATACTCTCACTGCTATATATGTCGGAACGGGCCGGATCGGACGACTATATCATATAGCTGCCATACAAATGTTCAATAAATTTTTAGAAAAATAATTTTAACTTGGCTGTTTTTCAATATTATTCCATCATTTTTGAGATATAGCCTTTTTATATTATTCCAGAATTTTGGTAAAAATTTTATGAAAATCGGACCACTATATCTTATAGCTGCCATAGGAACGATCGGGAAATTAATCAAAAAAATTATAACTTCGTTGTTTTTCAACGTATTTTAATCTACTTTGACACATGAGCTTCTGGTATTATTTCAAAATTTTGGTAAAAATTTTATGACAATCGGACGACTATATCTTATAGCTGCCATAGGAACGATAGGGAAAGTAATAGAAAAAATTATAACTTCGTTGTTTTTCAATGTATTTTCATCTACTCTGAGATATGAGCTTTACTTATTATTATAGAATTTTGGTATACATTTTATGAAAGTCGGACAACTATATCATATAGCAGCCATAGAAGCGATCAGATGTAGAGAAAATGTAAAGCTGGGAATGTATAACTGTAACTGTCAAACTGCAAACATAATAAGTATAGGTAAAATGGTATGTAACTCAGTTTAGTGTCTGTTTTCGGCATTATAATTTATGACATAAATATGAAAACCAATCTGCAAGGGTATACAAACTTCGGCGTGCCGAAGTTAGCTTTCTTTCTTGTTAGCAATATAATAGATACTCTATGATCCTCACCGATTTCGATTTGAACTTAAAATTCAATCATTTTTCGATATAATTAAGCTTACTAAATTTTAGATATTTTACTCCAGCTAATAAAACACACCATAACACATTGCTTTTCATCGTATTTATTATACAGTTTTTGTTCACAACATGAAAAAGAATTGGTAGAAAAATATGACATCATGGTTAAGGTTTTAATATCTATATTTATAAACCCATATTCCATTAGTTTCCTTAATTTGCTTTATTTTTAGTCTTCGCTTTGCAATGTTCTCTTTTTCTTTGTTTGTTAACATACAAGTTGAGTTTAGAATTGAAAATATGGAAAAGCTCAAAATAAATGATTTTTCAGTTGGTTAATCGAAAAAAGAAATAAAAGTACAAATTAGGTTAAGGGGAAAAATAAATAATTCTCTTGGAGGTTCGATATTCTCTCCACTTTTCTTCGTTGATTATGTAAAATGTGTGTTGTATTTTTACAAAACCTTGAGCAATTATATAAACTTAAATCGTCCTTTGCTACTAACATCCTTCAGTTAGTGATAATTTTCTCTAGCTTTTACATTTTTTTGTACAATTTTTTAAAGTGTTTTTCGTTTGTTTTTTATGCATTTTCTTTGTGATTTTTTCGTTTTTTTTTAATTCGTTTTTCGTTGATTTTTTTTTAGTGTTTTTTTGTTTGGTGATAATATGGTTTTATGTTTTCCGTTCTGTGTTGTTTGTTGTTGATTAAATAAAATATATTTCTAGCATTCATTTTGGTTTTCCATGAAAAATCAATGAAGCTTCTTCCTTGAGGTATCCTCCTCTTCCAGGCTTTGAATAAGTTGAACTCGGTTAACTTAGTCGATAATACGGCGCTTCCTTGGCCAAAACAAATCACATTCTGCCTCCAGTTTAGGAATCCTCCTTCTGCAGGCTCTGCAGCTTCTCGCTGATGTTCGTACTCTGGTAAAAGAGCCGAACCACATTGGTGCCCTCGCCCTTGGTGGCCAGTATCTCCACCTGGAATGTCTCGGAGCAGCGCGTGTCGATGAACGTTTGCAGCTGAGTGGTATCGCACTTGGCCATGGTGGCCGCCTCCAGCTCGCAGCGCTTGCTATAACGCTCCGGCTTGGCTAGCTCCTCGGGCAGCTGGCGGAACTGCTGGGTCACCGCATTGTTGCCAAAGTCTATGAAGTGCACCTCGCATTTGTTGTCTTCCAGAACCTTGAGTATTTTGGCGCGATAGAAGACCTCATCCTGGGGAAACTGTGCCACGCACAGGGCTCCCTCCTTGAGGTCACTGAAAACAGGCCAATCCTGCTCAGCGTCCAGCAGTTTGTCTGTCATCTTCTCCAGCTCTGGTACCTCGCTCTCCATCTGCACGTAGAAGGAGGTGGGGCTGTCGTACTGCACCACAAAGCAATTGTGCAGCTCCGCTTCCAGCGGCTTCTGCACTCCGGCCACTGTGCTGGCCAGCTCCTGAGCAAAGTCCTTGTAGTTGATGCAGAGCTTAGCCAACACAGGCTTCGATTCATCATCCTTTGGCTGAGTGGTTATCTGGTAAACCTCGCCAAAGTGCTGCTCCAGCAGGGCAGCAAAGGCCTTGTCCAGCTGCTCATCGGGCACATCGTCGGGGAGTTCACTTAGCTGGCAAAGCAGAGCCTGCGGTGCTACCTGCTCGATTCCCTGGGGTAATTTCCAAATCTCTGGCACGGTTATGGTGTTGCCATAGTCCAGCAAGAAGGCCTCAAAGCCCTTGGGCTCTTCCAAAACCGACTTGATGCTGCAGCGATAAAAGCAGGCATCCTCCTGGGAGTAGCAAACACCATGAGAATCCTTTGGCGGAGCCTCAAATACCTTTAGTTGGTCCTTCGACAGGGACCTTAGGGTCTTGACAATCACATCTAGTTCAGGGGAATTGTGCTTCAGCTGGACATAGAAGCCTTTGGGTGAGCTGCCGTGAGAAATAATGCAGTCCGAGTTCTCGTTACGCTTCTGGATGATGGTCAGCTCTGTCTTTAAAACCTTCTGCAGCTGCTCGTAAATGTTTAGACCCTTCTTGTCGTTGGTGGTCAGTCTCACTAAAGGAGGGCTAGCTGACTTGTCTAGGAATTCCACTACCACATCCCCATTGCAGCAGTCCAGCAAAGCTTGTATATTCACCAGGGTGAGACTTTTGTGCTTCTCAAAATCATCGCAGGATTCCATGCGGCAGATCTCAGCTATGGCTGGAATGGTCTTGAATTCCTCGGGCATGTCGTAGAGCTTGTCCACCACCGAGGGGTTGCCATAGTCTATGAATACCACGCGATACTTGTCATTGTCCAGCACCTCCACAATGCGAACCCGATAGAACTCCAGGTCCTCATCAAACTGAGCCACCAGCAGCTCATCCACCTTACCCTTCTCCTTCTTTGCCTGCAATGTACCATCATTTAGCTTCTCTATAATGATATCCATCAAGGGTTCCTTTTCGCCAAACTGCAGGTACATCTCTGAGGGGCTCTCCACGTGAGTAATGACAGCTTTGGTTTTCACAGAGGAACCCTCGTTTAAGGATTCCTTGCTGGCAGCCTTGGGCTCCTTTCTAGGACATAGCGGCAGCAGGCGCTCGTTGATGTTTTCGCCATCCAGCAAAAGTTGTATTATAACCTGATCCTCACCGGGCTTCACCAGCTGCGTGGTGAATATCAGCTCACCCTCGCCTGTGAGCTCTGCAAATTTGGCCTCCGCTTCCGGCGACCAGGATGTGTATTCTTCCGGCAGCTGCAGCGAGCACTTCTTGGACAGACTAGGCAAACTGGCAATCTCTTCGGAGAGCAGCAGACACTTGGATGTGGTGGATTTGTTGCCATAGTCAATGAAGAGCACCTCATACTTTCCATCCGGCAATTGCTTTAGCAGCTTGGCCCGATACCAAAGCTCATCGTCCTCAAAGAGGGCCGCCACAATGGAACCCTTTTCGAATCTCTCCAGCGGCTTTGGGTTCTCCTCATCCCTCAAGAACATCTCAATCAGCTCCAGAGCCTTGGAGTCCCGCTCCAATTGGATGTAAAAGTCGCAAATGCCATTCACATGTGAGATGTAGCAAGTGGTGCCACTGGGCACATACTCCAGCGGCTTAGCAAAGCCATCGTTAATCAATTTCTTGGCCACATCCTCGCCATCGATGAACAGATTCACATAGCTAACCGTCTGGTGATCGCCCTGGGTGAGGTACTCGTAGCTCAAGGTCTTTGTGTAGGATTCGTTGAAAATGCCATTTGCTGCATCCACCCAATCGGCAGTGCTCTTGGGCCTGATGGGCAGGGCGCAGGGCAGGCTGAAAGGTTCGATATGCGACCACATACTCTCCTTGACGTCCGATGTGTCCGATACGCAGTCCGTGTTGCCAAAGTCCACAAACAGCAGGACCATCAGCTCAGCGTCAATGATCTTGGCGCGATACCAGTTCTTATCAACGGAGTACAAGGAGATGCAATCGGCGCCATTCACCACATTTCTAAGCTGGGGCAGAGAGGGCGAGACAATTTGTAGATTCTCCTGCAAGCGATATACCTCCGGCAGCCGGTCAATGGGATGGACAAAGAAGTGGGTGGGATTGATACAGTGACTGAGTACAGCCTTCTCCATGTCCTTGTAGGGATCCTCCTGGGGAGGAGTAAGCTTTGGGGGTTCTTGAACAGTTTTCGGCTCGGGCTCAGGCTCAGGCTTAGGTTCTGGTTGTGGTGGTGGTGGTGGTGGCTGAGTTATGGCCTTGGCTTCTGGTTCTTTTACAGCCACAGGAACTGGAGTGACTGGCTTGGGCTCCACTGGCACTGGAGAGGGAACCTTAGCTGGAACTGGCGAAGGAGAAGGAGCTTGCTTCGATTTCTTGGGTTCACGTGGCTCCCTGTCATTCTGTGGCTTCTTCTTGGGCGAACTCGACTTGCTGCCACGCCCCTTTTCCTCCTCATCATCCAACGTCAAATCCACCATTTCAATGTACTCGTAAATGCGAGACTTTCCCTTATCCAATTGCTTGCGCATATAATCCAGATCCTTGCCGGGTATAAGCTTCTCCTTCTTGAGCACATCCACCACACTCTCCTCGCTCTTCATGATGGCATCGGCAATGAGATGATTGCGACGCATCTCAATAGCTTTGATAGTGACCACATTACTCTCCAGGAGTTCAGCCAGACGTTTTTGCAGTTTATCAGCATCGTTGGGCCTTCCAATGGGTAAGTTCACCTCGATGGCAAAGCCACTACTATTCTCGTAAAACTTATCGTCCAAGGCCCTGATATCCTCACGCTTTACCACCTCCGTGTTGCCATAATCAATGTAAAACACCTCGGTGCGTGCTGCCGTTGAGTCTCTACCAGAGATTCGTGCGCGGTACCAATTTTTATCGAAACTTCGAGCGGCACAGATCTGACCAGCTTCATATTTCTTGAGGGGGATACCTGGGGAGGGGGGGAAGAATATAAGTTATAATTTAAAATTTTAGCAAGTTATATTTCTCACCCTGAGACTCGTAGAACTCGTACATGTCATCCAGTAGATTGTTAACTTTACCCTCTGTGGCCACATTTTGGACGAAAATGCGATAGGGCTTGGAGGTGAACACCACTAGAGCCTGGAAGGAGCTCAATACCACGGGATGGGGACAAATGAATGCCTTGCGATCCTCCTTGAAAAGCGGCATTACAGGGCGAAGATAAATTCTTAAAAGAAATGTAATTTTTATAGTAGGGATGGGATAAGCTGAGAAATTAAACGATTTTATGTATATCGAGTATTTAACGATAAATATATCGCACTCATTATCATATCGAAAGTGTAGTAATCGATTAAATGAATGAATTATTATTTAGAGTTGGAAATAAAATCGATTAATTTTTTCCAAATTAAGCGAAACATCGATATACGTTGTCCGAATCGATTTAATCGAAAAAGTTCAATAGGTATGTAAACGTCGTGGAAAAGATAAGTAGTGCTCTTTTAGGAATCCCGAATTTCAGTAATTTGGTTAACCTATTCATAGTATTTCTGGTTTCATATTAAAGGTGAAAAACACCAAAAAGCACATCATAAATATCGATAGATAAAATGTAAAGATCGATTTACTGGTAATCCCTATAAGTGATTAAGTCCTCATTTAAAAAATATGTACAAATTATACTTACATATTGTTATCGCAGACATTTTTGATATTAAAAGCAAAGGATTTGCCCTCGTAGAAATCCTTGAAGCGTCTGGCCAAATCCGGATTCGATTTGATGAACTTGGCATCATCATAAGAGGCCATAATGTCTACATGATTGCAGTAGTCTAGCTGAATCTTGAAGCTGGTCATGTCCCGAATGAAACTAAACTTGCCCCTGACCTGTTGGCCTGCCAGAAGGCTAACACGAACCTCTGCAAAGTAAAGATAAATATAAAATATATAATTTAATATAAATCCAGCTGCCATAATCTTACCTGGAGCCACCTCAGTGAGTAACTCTGCCTTGATAAGGGTCTTCTGCAGCGAGGCACCGTTTACAAATAGATTTATCGTGTAGGTACATCCACTTTGGCTGCTCTTCTCCATATACAAATATTCGCACTCCACCTTGGCATTGACCGGCACATACTTCTCCATGCGATCCACAATGTACAGGGGATCATAGTTGGTCAGCACGCTGTCAAAAGTGCAGCGTTGGGCCAGGCACGGTGGCTCTGCAAAGCGCTGCTCCAGCGGCCAAACATCCTCCGAGGTGACCGTGATCACACTGCCAGTGTCCACACAAAAGACACGATATTTGCGTATCATGTGATTACAGGCAATGACTGTGGCACGCAGGATGGCGTTATCCTTGCGTTGACGCACCACCACCGTGGAGCCGGACTTCAGCTGAAGAGGCTGATGCTGCTTCTGGCGGTAGAACTGTCGCATCTCACGCAAAACACCATCATACTTGGCAGAAAGACTCTGGGGCACAACGTAGAACTGGAACGGTGAGACCCACCAGGATAGACTGGCCGCCTCCTTGCTGGGAGTTTTGATCTCATGCTGCACATACGGCTTGTCTAGGGGCACATACTTTTCTGGTCGGGATTCGGTGGAGGAGGAGGCAGTATCGCTCTCCATGCCGCTGGAACGCTTCGAGTTGCTGACGGCATTGCCGTCCAAGGTGGACTTTTGTCGCTGCGGCTTTTGGGCAAAACCCTGGGGTGCATTTTGTGAGCGCTGGTTCTTTTGCTGGCCATCGGGAGTCTTGCGCGGTGACTCGTTCTGGCTAAAGCGACTGGAAAAGAAGAGGTTGATTAATATATTGTGGTAGCGACATACATCTTTATTCTATATTTTTTTTCCATATTTATAATTATAGAACTCACGTATTTTTGTTCGCCTCTGGTTTTCCATTCTGCAACCTGGGCGACTGAGTCTGCAGGCGTCCCTTCTGCTGGCGATTGCCCTTGCGTGGCGAACTCATGCCACTGGTGTAGCTGCCGGTGCTCTGGGTATCGAAGCTAGAATCCAAATGGCGATCGAATCTCTCAGCTGGTTGTTGCTGCTGCTGGCGCCTGCTATCCTTGGATCCTGCCGATGTGGAGCTGCGCTTGTCCCAGTCATTCGAGTTCTTGGTGATGCTTCCTTTCCCAGAGTCAAGAACACGCTCCTGTTGTGGCTTCTGCTGCTGCTGCTTCTCCTTCGCTGGCACACGATCCTCCATCTCCACAATGCTGGTAGAGTTCAAAACATGGCTCTTGTCCAGCTCCGAGGAGAGAAACGAGTCTGTGGGCGTGGTATTAAAGTGTCCCTTCTCCAGCGACAGGTACTTCTCGAAGGGCATCGATAGCTTGTACAACTTTTTCATCACATTAATGTTCTTGGCCATCAGATTCACCACGTGAAGGCCATCGGGTTCGATGCGAAAGACGCGCATATTGAAAGTGCGACGCTGGATGTTCGAGTCTTCGGCCAGCATCTCAAATGTATCGGTAATCTTGTCCTTGCCTAAATCACTGTTCTCGAAACCCTTCAGGCAGCACTTGACCGCCTGGCGTGGCATTTCGAGATGCTTTTCGGCTATGTGGGCAATGCAGTGACGCTTTACGGAATGCTCATAGCCAAAGTCTACGTGGCGCACAATCACAGTATCTTCCACGCGCAGGATCTCAGCACGATACCATTCCCGTTCGCAGCGCACCATGCAGGGGGCACCCAGTACTAACTGGTCGGGCACCTTCTGGTTGACATTGTAATAGGAGAACATTTCATCCATCAGCTTGCCGAACTTGGCCACATTGGCTATCTTTTGTACATAAAAGTTGCTTGGCGAATCAATAAAACGGATCTCCACTTCATCATCGTTTTGCAAATGCTCCGCCTTGGTGTATGCAAGGCGAGTGTTCTTCATTTGACGCAGCATCTCCAGCATATTGGAGCCCTGAAAGGAAAGGAAAGGGTTACCAATTAGAGGGATCTTGTTAGGATTTTCCAAAGAAAGCCACTTACATTCTGCATGAGGTGGCAGGTCTGCATGGCGCCCACACTCTCCGGCGCCTTCACAGTCAGCTGAAAGCTCTTGTAGGTGCACATTTGCTTAAAGATCCGCCTTATGCTCTCGTCTATGGGCTCGATGTCCTTGGTTCCGGCCAAGGCAAACCGATAAGCAAACGGCTTAATCTCCAACAGTTCGGGGGGTATTTGAAAGAGATCGCTAATGAGCAGCAGCCCAGAGTTTCCATAATCCACATAGACCACCCGGAAACGCTGGCCAATCATGCCGCTTACCAGAGCGCGATAGAAGTTACCATCATCCGCAAAGCGGGCTACGCAAGCAGTTCCAACTTCTGGAGCCTGCGACAGCGGCTTCAAATGCGTTTTCTCAATCTTGCTCATCATGGCGGTCAAATCGTTGAGGCTGCTCTTCAATTGCACCCAAAACAAGTGAACGGCATTCTCCACAAAGCTCATGTAGACGTCGTAGGTGAGGCCCACGGTTAAGGTGGTGGTCCTAAAAGCAGGAATGGCGCGTTGCTGGGGTCTCTGTGACAGCGCCGTTGGCGTAGGCGGTGGAGTAAAGCGTGCAGCGGCATAATTCAACTGTGAATAGTTCATCATTTGGTTATTGAGAGGGACCACCTTCTGTGGAACCGGCTGGTTCAGCCGGACATTATAGTAATTGTAAAGCGATCGGGGTGTGGCGGCAACGGCCTTGGGCACATAAGGTTGAGCAGCCTGCTCAGCGGGCTGATAATTGGCACGATTATAAGGATTAACCGGCACGTAAGCCGGTTTCTGAGTATTGGCCAGGCCATGCGCTGGCAACTGTACATTCGTCTGCAAAAGATATAAAGTTACTATATCGATTTCTAAGCGAGAAAACCACAAATCATACCACATTCGCCAGTGGCACCTGTTTGGGTGCATATTCGGCAGCCTCTGCATTGAGCTGTCTGGGCGGCGATGTCACCTGAACCGAACGCTGAGCCTCGAGGCGGGCGGATAGGGATCTGCGAGAAGCCAGTTGCTCTCGTGCGATATCCGTCGGCGTCATTGAGTTGCTGTGTATGGTGTTATTGTTGTGCTCAGCGGGCGGTGTCTGCGGCGCATCCTTCCACAGCTTGCGGCAGTGATCCAACATGAGTTGCCTGGACACCGGGGCACCGATTTTTCGCTGCTGCACCAGGAACTCGTCCAGCTGAAAGTCCTTCCAGCGCAGGCTGGCAAATTTCTGACCACAAATCTGTGTGGCATCGATGGCCAAATGAACGGTCTGATTGACAATCAACTGGTGGACCACCGCCAGATCGGCCTGGCTCCAGTCGTGGCAGATGCCTAGGACTATGTACTGAGAGCAGAGCAGCCGAATGTTTTGCATAAGCTTTGGCGTCTTGGGAAATATCAACTGGCGGAGAAGGAAATCGATTAAAAAGGCTACTTAAAACAGGCTAATCCAACTCACATCTTTGCCCTTGACTGTGCGCTTGAAGCCATAGTCTAAGAACTCAATCTCGGTGCGCATTTCCTGGCCCTCGAGCTCTGCGGAGATCACACGGGCCCTCATGTAGTCCACATCGCCGGGCGCAGGACCATTGATCCGTTTGTAGGCGCAAATGACGCCGGGTGTGACTAGGGCCTGTTGGCGCTCCACGCTCCAACTGGGCTCAATGCTGAAGCAGGCGGGCAGCACCTGCTCGATGCCCTTGCTGACAAGAATGGCGGCATCATGGTTGACCTGGCCGTAGACCTTCAGGTACGGGCCTACATGATCCAGGTGCGTAATGTATAAATCCAGCTTGGAGGCGCCAACGCTCGGTGCCTGTCCATTCATGTTTGAGTGTTATGGTTCGCTGAAATCGAGGTATTTAGTGAGAAAATATCAGATACAGTAATTTCTGGCGACACCGCAACACACACACGCATAGCCTTGCAGTTTTCTCTTGAAAAAGAACCGTTAGTCCGAAATAATGGTAGCCCAGGAATGTAACTGACCAATCCTGCCGCTTATGCATGTGTGTGTGTGTGTGTTTGCAAAAGTTCGTTAAGTTTTGTTTTTCTTATTAAAACAAATAAATAATTAAAACATTTCAATTCCACTTACGTCTTGTCGTCTTCGTTGTCCAGATTCAAAGCGAAACTCTGAAAAAACGCCCTGCCCGCCGCCAGGTGCCCCACTTCTCTATCTTTCTATCTCTCTTTCTCTCTATGTGTGTCTGCTCTGTGTTCTCCCTGTTATTTAATTACATTTGCCTTCTGGGGCTTACGGAATTGGACGGCGTTTTTGGGGGGTAAACGGTGGCACAGTTCTTAATGGCTGGGCTGCGGGCTCTTTTCGGGTTTACTTTTTGTGGAAGAAAGTCTTGCGAGTGATTAGAAATCGCGATGCACACACACCTCTCTCTCTCCCCTGTCCACGTCTCAGTGCAGGTGCTTTTGGTGCAGCGATATAGTTTCTGTTTTCTATTTTGGGGAAAATGGGGGTTTGCGGGTTTCAGTCTTTGAATTTCCAGTTGCGCCCGCTCAGCAAGCGCTTCTCGTTAGCTCTGATTCGTAGGGTTGAGTCGAAATAAGCAATAAATAAACGTCAAAATGAGTTAAATCGAAAAATATCACCCAACTTTTTCCACAAGACAACGAAGACTAGTATTGGACAACGACCGATAGTAAAAGGTTGTGTTAAACTCAGAAAAGTTTAGCATTTTGTCTTCCATAGTAAATGGTCACACTTTTATAGTTTTTATTAATTTTTCAAAATATACGTTGCTTGTCGTAACTTAAAATCAAAAGATGGGTGAGTAATATCATGGAATATTTAAAATATCTAGTTTTTTTATGAAAAACCCTCAAAAACCTCTTACAAAATTTAAATATTGCCGCTAGAGTGACCAGATGGAAATAATGAACATCTGTTCGTTAAGCACAGTAGGCGCGCAATTCAAAAACTTAACGAATCTTGTAAAGCAAGGATATCCGTGTAATTAACCAGTTTATAATTATTTTTTATATTTATAGAATTTAAAGTATACAAATTAAATAAATCAAATGTTAATCACCTTATTTTACTTCCCATTTATTATTAATTTGTTTAAATTAAAACAAAATTAAACAATTTCTGAGCATTTGTTTGTGTATGTTTATAGCCAAGCCATTTTTATATATTTTTCTTACACATTTGATTACAGTTTACAGCTTACAGTTAACAGCTAAAATGATTGCATTCGAAATTGTTTCGTTTACACGGATCTATGCGCATCTATTTATATATATTTTGCTAAGAATCAATCTCTCCTCTTTCAATATTATTGGAGATTAGGCTTTATTCGTTATTCATTTGTTATTTAATTCGCTCTTCCGCGTTTTCCCGTTCCCATTCAGATCCATTTATAAGGCTCACCGGTCTCCAGAGTCGGAAGTCAATCTTGTATCTAATTGAATTTAAATTTCAAAGAGAGATTAGATCGCAATTGCTAAGCTAAAGGCTAATCGGGCGATAAATACAGCACAGAATAATCCGAATTATCAGAATATATATATCAATATCAACGACAATTACAATTACAAATTACAAAATTACACAATTACAGACGAATGCCATTAACTCAACGATTAAAACTGAAACAAAGGCAAGCGCACAGAAGCAGCATTTGGCGGCGGACGACAATTAACACATGCATCTGCGATCTGTTTCAACAGTAGTTTTGCGTAACAACTAAAAACACTAAAAGTAAGCTTTAATATCTAACCAGCACCCAGCACCCCGTGGCGTCGTCCCGCCGGAAATAGCGCGGCCGATTATCCCTAAAGACGGTGACGGCGGGGAACTGGTTCTCCTGGATGAACTTGATGGTGGCACGCGTCTGAAAAAAAGATTATACAGAATAAGTAACAGTTTGCTGAAGATTCTCCACTCATTTTTACCTGGGGCGCAAAGTGTGGCGGCTCGACATCGGGACTGGAGGACAGGTGCTGTAGCAGAAACTCATCCGTTTGGGAGAGCCACAGATCGGCGCCACGCAAAGGATCATAGTTGAATGGTCCAATGCGCAACATGCCCAGCGAGGAGTCGTATACATCCAGGACCTAAAAATGTTATAGGTAATATAAGATAGATGTAAATTTTAGGGTTGCAAAGGATTTTCCAACTTACCGATTGCGCTCCCATGAAAATGCGTGCATCGCGCAGCTCTCGATCGGGTCCTCGGTCTGGGAAAGTGGCCGGAAAGATCTCCCCAGTCTTGATATTCACGCCCACGCCATAGATAATGGGACAGTTTATCTCCCCACGCATCATGGTATTCAGGTCACCCACGCAGGCCTGCGTCAGGTCGATCTCAAGATGGTGGTTGTGGAATGATTCTGTGAAGAGAAAATTAAGGTTATTAGAATTTAGACAAGGAGAAACTAGGAGAGTTTCTTTAATTTTAAAGCAAAGCAGTTAATTTTCTTGAAATAAATGGGGTTTAAAGCAGGTTATCTTACTATTTTTAAGAAAAATAACATTTTCTTCCTCAAATAAAGCCCAACTCTCTCCTCTCAACTCAAAATCCCTTCCTATCTACTCACGCATGATGCTAAAGAAGACTTCCTCGCCATAGTTATTGACATCCCGATAGCCACCAATCAACTGCAACTCGATGCGACCCTCTGGATAGCCCACGGCCAGCTCCTGCACCCTTGTAACCATAGTGCCCACGGCCTCGTCCACACCGCTGCCATCAAAGTGGGCCAGAGCCACGGCGCCCGATCCTGTCGAGCAAAAAATAACAGAAAACCAACCCAAAAGGTTAATCAGCCAAATGAGCCAAATTTATGGTAACAGGGAATAGGAAACCTTACCGGAATGCCGGACCACAACGATAATACAGGTGGTGGCATCGTCGGCGCCAATAATGTTGACATGCTTGTCGTGCGGGGCAGAGGCGGCCCATTCCCGCTGGCCCACATAGAGCAGACCCACTGGACCCACCGACTTGGCCTGAATGGAGTGCAGCTGCTGGGCATAGTCTCTGTAGACGGGATGCTGCAGGAACAGGCTATTGGTGTTCATGGGGCAGTCGTCCTGCAGCACTCCGTTCAGCACGAGCACCATCCTGGCTGTCGTCGTCGTCGCTTCCTTCCAAGGGTTTCGATTTCAATTACTCGGAGTTTGTCTTCAGCAAGACAAGTAGCAGGCAACTGGAAGAGAGGGTAGAGAGAGAGAAGACACAGAATGAGTTAGAATCGAAGAATGGAAGCTGTGGGATATGTCTACTGCATTCGCCTTCTTGGCAGGAACAGAAGCAGCGGCATAAAAATCAATTTACGATGCCCGCAACCGCAGCAACCGCAACAGATTTGCATGTTTGATAATAATTTCATGCAGTCAGCCACAGCACGGTCCAAGAAATATGTTTACACCTCTGATTCTGATCCCTCCTCCGCTGACTCGTAAATTTTATTCAGCTTGCAAAATAAAAATGTCAAAACTTGGGGCCCCGGAGGCTTGATTCGATTCCCTGTTTCAGTTTTAATCCAACAGAGTTCAACTCACAATGGAAGCCCTGAAATTGGTTCGCACACAGAGAGAATATTATTTAAGACTCTTGTTTCATAAAGAGTCTGGAAAATATAGTCTCTGTGATCTGTCTAGTGATTCAATAGAGTTTTAAAAGAGTCTAATAAAAACTATATAAAGAATAAGATGCATAACGGCATACAAAAAATTGCGCGTGTGTTGGAAATCAAAAAATATGAGCGTGTGGCTTTTTATTATTTAAATTGTCTTTAGTTTAAAGATATTTTTATATAAAAAATACACTAAAAAATATTTCTAGCTTTGAAGTTGTATCTTTTAGCTCTCCATTCACTATTGACACATTTTAGTTCTCCAACCAGAAGCGTTACCCATAAGGGGTAACCCAACGCCACTCGTGCTCCTGCTCTGTGAAAATCTAATAAAACAATTAGAAGGCCATCGAGGGGTCATTAATTTACGAAGTGATACCCACTACCCTCATATGGTTGGCACTGGCAATTGAGGCAAACACTTGAAGTCACAGATGTCACACGAAAGTTAATAACCATTAAGTGGCGGCGACAGCAAATTAACCACCAAATGAACAACAAATTTAATAGAATTTAATAATAATAATAAACAGTATCAGGCAGTAACAGCACCCTGTTTTCGAGTGCAATTGCAATATGCGAGCTGAGTCAGTCTGTGTAATTGAATTATTTACCTACGGATGCTGTCTAGTTTCAATTAAGCGAAATAAAGACAAGCTAAAGTTCAAGTATGAGAGTAAGAGCCCCTCATAAACATAAACGATTACATGGACAGAGCACCGGCAACAGCAGCAGCAGGGGAAAACTGTCTCGAAAAACAATTGTCAGGGCTAATTTTCGATGCAGAAATCGTTGTCTGCCTTCCAAAAATAAAAGCAGCAACAAGTAAACAACAAAAACTGAGTACAAACAAAAGCCAGAAAAGAATCCCAGTCAGGAACAACACTATTAAGTCGGGAAAACAATGGAAAAAGGCTGCTGTGGTTGTGAGGAAAAATCAAAAAGCAAAAAGAACGTGAAGAGCTTGGTTTGCTTGGGATGCTCTGGAGCTGGAGCAGGAGAACCCAGCTAGGAATAGCAATTGTTATGCCATGGATCTTGGGGATTTAGATTTGGTTTTGGCTCCAGCTCCGGCTCCAGCCTCGTCGTCGTCTTCCTTTTTGCCTGGAAGCAATTTAGCCGCGATCATGCATGAATCTTGATTAGATATTCAACGAGAAATAATTTGAAAATGATGACAGTTGGCGATAGGCGCGCGCTGCACTCGCGAAGCCCAAAGGATGGATGGTAACAGTGAGAGAAAATTCTATAAATTAGCTTGAGAGATAAAAAATTTATTAAAGACTTTTAACTATCCGAAATGTTCTCATTTACAACAGTAGTATAAATTTTGTTTAATAAATAAAATAAAGGTTTACCCCTTTCTCTCTTTCATTTTTCCCTGTGCATCCCATCTCAAACTCCAATCCATTGAAGCTGAAAAAGGAGCAGAAGGCAAAGCCCCAACGATCTATGTAGGTGAGGCAGGATGACCGAGTTTTCCACCAAAAAAACTGATTCCTAATCAAAAGACAAAAACGAAAAAAAAAAAGAGTTCTGTTGACTCTTGGCTGAGCGGGCGGTCTTGCCAGTCACTACTTCGTGCTCGGGCCAGAGATTCCCTCCACTTGATACTGACTGAAACTGGGAAACTGAAAAACCTGAATACCAACCAGGAGGAGTCCTCAATCGTTGGCCCAAGCGTGATCGATGGCAGCAGCTAAAGAACGCGGCAAACAAGGCCATCCAGAAACGTTTCAATTCATTAGGCGGGCGACGAGTCTATTACGCCTGTCCAGCCAAGTCTAGAGTAGATATACATATAGATAGAGATATATTTAAGTACTGCAGTACGGAGAACAACTCGTTACGGTTCGGACTTATAACAATCACAAATTATGGGTTGCATGTTAAGGGGGGGAAAATGATCTTGTAGATTTAACACTGATATAGACGGGGCCAAAAACAGGTTCCATTTGTCTACTGGCCCGGGCATTCTTGGCCACAATGATTGATGGCAATTTTGACGAGCAGCAGTTGCAGTTGCAGTTGCCACTGACAGCAACA